TAATGGTGTAATTTGTTAACCATCCATCCATCCATCCATCCATCCATCCATCCATCCATCCATCCATCCATCCATCCATCCATCCATCCATCCATCCATCCATCCATCCATCCATCCATCCATCCATCCATCCATCCATCCATCCATCCATCCATCCATCCATCCATCCATCCATCCATCCATCCATCCATCCATCCATCCATCCATCCATCCATCCATCCATCCATCCATCCATCCATCCATCCATCCATCCATCCATCCATCCATCCATCCATCCATCCATCCATCCATCCATCCATCCATTCATTCATTCATTTTTTTATTCATCCGTTCATTCATTCATTTTTTTATCCATCCGTTCATCCGTTTATCCATCCATCCATCTGTCTATCCATCCATTCATTCATCTAGCAATCCATACCATACATATATTCATCTATCTATCCATCCCATCTATTCATCCATCCATTCATTTCATAATTTAACCATTCATTCATCCATTATTCACTCATTTATCTATCCATCCATCCGTTCATCAACAGTTCTGTATTGCAATTGCCATAACCCTTGTACTTAGCATCATCTGTCTCATCGTTGGATTCGCAGTGCCTGGACCGGTCAGTTGAACGAAAAAAATTATTTTATTTATCTATTTTTAACTTTTTAAAGGCCAAAATTTTTTTTAAATCAGACGGATTAGCTAAGAAGATGATTAAATTAAACATGGTTGGCTTGATAAATTAAGTTTAAAATGAATCGAATGTTATATGTATTACGATATATAAATTCAATTTGTTTGTTAAATATTGAAATAACATTCCAAAGTTTGTTCATAATTGAAAAACAATTTGAGAACATTTTCTAAATTTTGAGTATTTATAGGTAGGAGTAAATTTTCGAGACAATTTCAACTCAACATCACCCAGAAAAATAAAAAAAATTGTAATTAATAGTAACAATTATTAATTAATTATGGTTTAATAATAAATTTTGGTATAATAATAATAATAATAAACAATTATTTAAATAAAACCTTCTGCAACAGGCGGCCAACCTGGTTGGGCAAAAGTTCAACGACAGCATGCCCAAATATAAAAATGATTCATTGGCACGTGAATACATCGACAGCATTCAGAATGGGGTAAGTTCAGTTGGCACACTTTCCTTATGACAACATTTATAATAATAATTATAATTAAGCCCTGGAAAAGAGGTAGGGGGTCGGAAGGGTGATTTGGCGTGGGTCTACGCGTTTAGGGTACCTCTAAATGGAGGTTTCTAAAGTAGGAATATTAAAATGTTATATATTTCTCAGAAGCATCAACACTCACACACCCACACACACACCCACACACACACACACTACTCACGCACACACACATACATACACCACACACGCACACATACATGTACCACACAGACGCACACGCAAAGCGTTCTGTAAACACACAAGCACCACCCACCGCATACGTTTTGGATTTAAAGGTCGGGACACTCATTAGAATTCTTATCATTGCACCACCCACACTTCTATCCATTCATCTAACAGTTTACTTGCTGCGGATATAATGGCTACAAAGATTGGAGTAATTTGCCACAATTTAAATCGGGTGAGTTGCCAGGGAGCTGTTGCACCAATTTTACTGGAAAGTTCGACGGCTGTAATTACCTTTCCCAAAACGAAAGCTACTACTATCAAGTGGTTAGTTTAGGAAAAAACAGTTACTACGTGTGTCATTATTTATTTGCTTTGTTGTGGTGGTGAATGTATGGGGTGAGAATGAGTAAATTTATATGATTAGTGAGTATGAATGGGGAAGAGATGTGATTTGTTTCTGTGTTTGTTTGTTTGTTTGTCGGTCATCACGATCATATGAAGATAATTTAAACGATGATGTCGAAGACGGTGGAGATGATATTAAAAAGAGTGATAATATTTTAATGTGACGTATTTTTTTTTACCATAATGAGCTAATGATAATGACCATGATGATATTAATACAATTATGATTGATGAGTATTAGAGATACGCAACTTGATGTGAGTAAGTCTGTAACTACGATGATGATAACAGAACACAATCATATGATTACAATGTACGCCGATGATTTTGGTGAATTTGATATAAATAACATGACACTAACATAAATGACCATGAAATTAGCATAAATTAGCATAAATTAACATAAAATTAACCCAACAATTACACAGGCCTGTATAACTCCAATTCAATCCAATCTGAAAGCCATTCTCTTCGGCTTTGGAATCATCTCAAGCATAACTGCCGGAGCTTTGGTTAGTGCTATTAACATAAATTATTTTTACAATTAATTACTTATAATTAACATTTATAATATTATATTATGTTAATTAATTAGATTATGAGTAGCTACGAGCTATCATATTCAGTGCGTCGGTTGCGACATTTAGCACGTATTCATATACGCTGTTTGTGTTGACACCTCTGAAGTTTGGAAGGGTCCTATAGACCTTTGACCTTTAACCTTTTTAAGCAAAAAAATGTGCTGAAATAGATTAAATTACATTGTTATTATTACTATTGTTATTATTATCATTAAAATATAATTTGCAAAAAAATAATATATTTTTCTCACTTGACAGCTTATAACTCTGATTCTGGCTTCTTGCCTGGCCGACAAAATGAGGAAAGAATACAATCCCGTTTAAGCGAGCAATCCTTTTCCGATTTAAAAAATCCATTTCCGATCTTAACGAGGGATAATTTTTTTTATATATTAGATCCATCGAATGATTGATTTGATGATGGATTTCATTAAATATCGACTTTATTTATTCGAATCGAAAATTTGTCATTAAAATAATTTTATTATTATACAATGTTATTGTTTCATTTATTAATTAACCGCTTATATGTGTTACACGCTTGTAACAAATTGCACCAATTTATTATATTATATTATGATTGAAATAATAAAATAATAATAATATGATAACAGTAATGACACGACAACGATGACGATGATGATGGTGATAATAACACCAAAATTATGAAGATGATGGTGGAATGATGATGTTGATGATGATGATGATTATTGAACGCTGTAGACTTAAGACTTGTAGTTGATATTATTATAGTAAATACGACTAATTTTGATGTTTAGAGCAATGTTGTTTAGATAAAAATATATAGGTACGAGAGCTTTTTTTTTATAAAGGTGTGAGAAATTTTTTACATAAAAAAAGTCAGATAGATAAGTTTGATTAAAATCATTTGCTTATTAACTAATACTCTTATTCTCATTCGGTTAGCATTTTAATTTTTTGAAAGAAAAGAAATCCTTACTGCCAAAAAATTGTCAGAAACCATAGAATGATATTTGTGTTTGAGCAGGCTAATCTTCGACCGCATCGCTATAATCACCACATGTGATTTAAATACCAGATGTCATCATGTTTTCAGACATAACAATGGCATATACACACATAAAAAATGATGCAACATATATTTCTAATATAATATATATGTATATATATATAGCTATGTGTGTGTGAGTGCGTGTGCGTGTGCGTGTTTTTGTGTGTGTGCGTGTGTGTGTGTGACGAACATCCACATGTATAACACTATAACACACATTAATTAAGACATGCATGTAATAAAACAACGGAGAATATGAAACGTAGGCAAAAAACCATGGCGAAAATGTACGCTGGTAAGTATTGTATATATAATGTATATATATATATATATATATACATACAATATTGTAAATATATCGCATATATATATATATATAAATATATATGTGTGTGTGTGTGTGTATATATTTATATATATACATACAATATTATCAATATATCGCATCAAATAAAGCAATCCTCGTTCGATTTTAATCAATGCATTGCAAACACACCTCCGTAATTTTAAGCACACACAAACAAACACATACACGTACAAACACATACACTCACACAAACAAACAAACACATATACGTACAAACACATACACGTAAAAACACATACACGTAAAAACACATCCACATACACACACAAATATAAAAAACAGAAAATTTTATTATATAGACCCCGTTCGTTTATGAGTGTAAGCTAGAGGTGAGCGGGAATTGAAACTTGTCCCAAATTCCCTCCTATTTTATTATGTCATTCCAGATTCCCACTCTAAGTCCCATTTATGACAACATTCCCGAAAATTATATACAGTCTTTTATTTTGTCACGTTGATGTCATTTTTCCATTCCAGCCCGTCATTCCCGATTCCCGAACAGCGATTCTCTATTTCCTGAAATTCCCATTCACGAAAATTAAGTTTTACCAATTTTCATGGGAATTCCATGGGAACCAGGGGAATCCCATAGGAACAATAAGATTCCCTCGATTCCTGTTCCCATGCGAGAGAGAGAGAAAAAGAGAGAGAGAGAGAGAGAGATACAAACACAGTTAATAATCTATTACTTACGTAGGTACGAAAAAAGATGTCATTAAACAACTCGTTATATATCGTTGAACATGAACACTATATAGTATATCTAGATTGATAATAATGCATGATTGCATTTGCTTGTGTTTATATAGTACATGCTAATTAGCAATTTGTTTTGCTTAAAATTTTCAGGATTTTTTGAAATTTTTTTTTTTCAAAACCTTTTTTGAAGTTTGCGATACAAAAAGGTAAAATAAATGTGTGTTGTATGCATTAGTTGAGAAATGACTGAGATTTATCTGTGTATATTTTTATATCTTGTAGAATTTTTTTATAAAATTTTAGTAATAATTTAAAATAAGTCACACCCGATGACGCTTGTGTCAATTGAAAGCATATAGAACAATACATAAACATACATCTAGACATAAACATAAACACACACACTCATAAACATACATAGACAAACATTGTAATGTTGAATTCAACACATAGGTAAACAAAATATACAACCATACAAACTTATATGTGCTCCAAATATGCAAAGTGAATACATTTACAAACAACAACAACAATAAAAAAAAATAATAATAAACAGTAATGATAATAATAATATAAATAATAAAATAATAATAATTATTATTATTAAAATATTCGCATGTACAGGTGAACAATGTCAGGCGGTTCGATAAAATGCTTACAAGTTGTAGTTGCTATATTGTGCATTCTGCAATTCGTTAGTTTGTTAATAATATTAATTTATAATAATAATAACTAATAATTTCATAATAATTATTATTATAACTATAATTATTAGCTATGTTAACTATGTTAAGGACAATGTTAACTATGTTAAGGACAATAAAATTGACAATGATATTAGCCAACCTAAGTACCGTACAAAAACGCTTTCGATGCTTTATCAAGTCTGATGATGGCAAACTTGCCATAGTCATCTTACATCTAACTGAGAAATGGTTCGGAAATTGGTATTTATTAAAATGCCATTAAACTTTAGTGACGAGAATTTCGTTACCTCTGAACATTATTATCTTACCAGCGAAAATATTAAAAACCATTTCAAACAAATACTCCAATGCTTACAACTCAACTACTATTACGGCTACTACTACTACACTACTACTTCTACTACAGCAACAACTACTACTACTACCACCACTATATATGCCATATTTTTAGTACTAATATGGTAAAAATAATTGATTTTAAAAGGAAATGAATTAATTGAATTAAAATCGTAAAACTACTGTACTACTACGTGTTTTGAGTAATTCTTAATTAAGTATTTCTTGTATAATAATAATAATAATATAATAATATAATTAATAATAATAATAATAATAATGATAATAATAATAATAATGATAATAATAATAACAATAATAATTGATATTTATAATTAATTATTAATTTATAGCTTTATTTACTAATTGATATTATCGAAAGTGTCGACTAACGTTGAAAGTATCACGAGCGTGCAAATGTTAAAATCAATGTTCCCAACCTATCGCAATTAACGTCAGAAGAATAACCGAACAATTTTTTCATCATCTTAATCATAATTTTCATCATCTAAATCATCATTTTCATCATCTAAATCATCATTTTCATCATCTAAATCATCATTTTCATCATATTCGTCATTATTTTCATCATCAAAATCATCATCATCTTTGCCATCATCTTCATCATCATTATTATCATTATTATCGTTATCACTGTTATCGTCATCATCATCATCTTCATCATCATCATAATCATCATATAAACACCATCAACAACATCACCCATCATAACTACCATCACCCCAAAAAAGACATATTCATCTCTAAAACCCACCACCCACCCACCAACCAATCAGATTTTAGGAGTAATCTTCCTGATAATGGGTGGTGTGGGTTTAAACAAATCGGGATCTGGAGCGGAAACAAAATCAGCCGCCATTTTTCTGCTCGTCGTCGGCGGCGTCATCGTCGTTGTCGCCCTGTTCGGCTTGTGTGGAGCGATCATCAAGCATGCCTGCCTTCTCATTTCTGTTAGCAATGTGTTGTGATATCGTCGTTGTAGTAGTCGTTTGACTGGCTGGTAGTAGTGGTAGTTCAATTTGTGTCCATTCATTTGACCATCCATCCATCCATCCATCCATCCATCCATCCATCCATCCATCCATCCATCCATCCATCCATCCATCCATCCATCCATCCATCCATCCATCCATCCATCCATCCATCCATCCATCCATTCATCCATCCATCCATCCATCCATTCATCCATCCATCCATCCATCCATCCGTCCGTCCATCCATCAACAGTTCTGTATTGCGGTAGGAATCACGATGATTTTGAGTATCGTCTGCGTCATAGTCGGATTTGCACTCCCAGGAACGGTTAGGATTCATTCCTTCATTCATTCCTTCATTCGTTTTTTCCCATTTGCTAATTAATTATCTAGTTCAATCATTTTTTCGCACATTCATTCTTTTGAGCGTTCATTCGTCTATTTCGTTGGCTAATTATTTAATTCAATCAATCAATCATTTATTCATTAAACCAGTCATTCATTCATTCATCTATCCATTCATTTATCCGTTCATTCATTCAATAAATAATTCATTCATCCATCCATTCATTAACTCACTCACTCACTCATTCAGGTTACGAACGCCACAGGCCGCTACTTCAACGACAGCATGACCAAGTACAAGGAGGATGGCGCCAGCAGGAACTTCATCGACAGCATGCAACTCAGCGTCGGTTAAGTTGGCTAGAATGATGACGATGATGATAAAATAATAAAAATAATAACAACAAATATAATAATAATAATTATTATTATGATAATTAATTCATAATAACAACAAATGTAATAATAATAATTATTATTATGATAATTAATTCATAATAACAACAAATATAATAATAATAATTATTATTATGATAATTAATTCATAATAACAACAAATATAATAATAATAATTATTATTATGATAATTAATTCATAATAACAACGCATTATATGGCTACCGACTCTACTTCTGACGTGAGTTAATTTAGCAATCAGCCAAGCAATGACATCCTTAATTTTTTATTTCAAATGTTCCAATGATGTCTGTGTGTAAAGAGAAAAGTTGTTTGGCAGTCGAAGCCCGTCTCAATCAAATGCAATGCGCGTGTGATGCGTTGTTTTACGCGTATCTAAATACATACGTACACTATTTTGAAGTTCAATGGCGGATCTAGAGGGCTGTCAGCCAGCCTAGATTTGGCCACACTAACAAAATTAAATTGAATGAAAAAATTTTTTTTTCAAATTTTCAAAAATTTGGCCATAAGTCAAAGCTGCTTAATTAATCCACTACTGCTGAAGTTGAAACATCTGAGAAATACTAAAAAATGGTAACGAATAAATTTTAAAGTACAGTTGTTGCGGGTACTTCACTTACACGGAATGGTACCAGATGCCGGGATTTCAGCCACGAGAACTTCCGATAAGTTGCTGTAGTAACTCAACTGGCAGACTGAGGGCTTGTAATGATTTTGCAGGAGATGGAGAGTACATATTCAAACTGGTTGGTACTGGTGGAGGTTATCCGTTACGATGAGGATAACAATGATGTTGTTGATGATGGTTAAATGATAATGAGACCATAACACGATGTGAAGACGATACTGATAGCAATGAGTAAACGACGACAAGAAGATGATAGCGTGATGACGATAATGATAACAAAAAGTTATGACGTCACGAAAAAATTGACAGGGTTGCCAGGAGCCCATGACTAACTCAATGAAAACCATCCTACAAGGATTTGGCATCATTGCAAGCGTTACTGCAGCTGCCTTGGTTAGTTTTACTGCTACTATTTCTAAGCTGTGGTATTATTTTTAGAGTAAAAATCACTTTCGTCCTTACCATCATAACCGCCATCATCATCGTCATCATCACTATCATCGTCATCGTTTCCCTCTTCTTCATCATGTCTTAGACATTATCCTCAACGATATCATCATCTTAAACATCCTCTTTAAAGGAATAATATAGTTATTAATATTATGAAATTATGATCATAATTATTATTACTTTTATTATTTTTATTTATTATATATAATAAAATTCTAATATATTTAATATTATTTTTTTCCTGTACCAGCTTGTTCTAATAATTCTGGCTGCCTGTCTGACAGACAAAGTCCGCAAAGAATATAAACCGGTTTAAATAAATCGGTTTTAATCGAATATTCGCCCGAATCTCAAACACGGATCAGTGATTCAATCAGACATTTTGTCGATTAGAGATTAATTTAGACAAATTTTTAAATTAAATTTAGTTAGAAACATCATAAGGTATGAAAATTTGATATGAAAATTGTTGTTCTACTTATGAAAATTACCCATTAAATACTTTAAATAATAGCTAATCTGATTAATGTATACAGGATATATGATTCTAAGGTGATGGTCAGTATATAATGATAAAAAATTTATTCTTCTATCTATGTACGTTCTATGAAGATGTCTATCTATCTTACTCTAAATGTGTTTAGAAATCAATATTTGAAAATAAAGTTGTCGTGAACATTTAGTTATTAAACGATTAATACAAAACTGAAGTGTTAATGAATGAAAAAAACAACCACTCACTTACTCCCTCGCTCACTCGCTCACTCACTCGCTCACTCGCTCACTCGCTCACTCACTCGCTCACTCACTCACTCAATCACTCACTCACTCACTCACCCACTCACTCACTCACTCACTCACCATTCATACACTCGTCAATTTTTAAATCTGTTTACACGCTTTTAAATTCATGCAATTTTAAAAAACAAAATATTTTACTAAATCGTAGTAAACCTACATTGTTAATAATGTAACACGTGTTGAATAATAATGCAGTAGTACAAGCAGCCACGTTTTTGTCCTTTTGGTAGCAACAGCAACGCAACAACCATTTCGAAAATTTGGGATCTTTCAGTCAATCCAAGTAGGATGAACAGCTAAACTCCTGTAACCACAATACTATGCTACGATATATGTATGATTGCTCAAATCTCATTATAAAAGTTAACTACACACACGCACACACATACACACATACATATAAACACACACAAGCACACACGCATATAGTATTTTTATTTTTGTTGCATTTTATATAAATTATAAAGTGAATGGTAATGTTGTTGTTATCACTGCAGATGATTCAATGTCAACTCGTTTTTCATGCTTTCATTTTCAACATGATTTCCATTCAGCGTTGATATTTCTTATATTCGATGTTTTCAAGACAGCTATTGCTATATTATGAACATCTTCAGTGAGTCACACACACACACACACACACACACACACACACACACACACACACACACACACACACACACACACACACACACACACAAACAAACACTCACATTCAAATTATTTTTGAAAACATACTCATCTGGTGTGTGCGTAAAAGCAAAATGCTTATGCATGTGAATGTGACGTAGCTCATAAACATGAAGTAAATAAACTTTTAAACAAATATTCGACTCGTAGCGATTAACATTAACATCCATTAACATTTATTTATTAATTTATCAATACATCTATTTAACCAATCAATTAATTGATAAATTTCAATTAATTAATTTATTTATAACTAGTCGGTAGAGTACTCCAGAGAAGAATTTAAAATACAAAAGGCAAAAATTGAAGGCAAAAGTATGCAACTAGATTTATCCAACATTTTTGAATGATAACTTGACAATAAAATTTAAATAAAAATTAATTGATTAACGCAGACGCAAAATTATTTTTGTGAAAGTGTGTTTCATTGCTAAATAAATTTCCAGTCTTGACATCAGCAGAATACAAAAAAAGACCATTTGAACAACAACAACAACAACAATAGCAATATTAATAACAATAACAATAGCAATAGTAATAACAACAACAATAACAATAGCAATAACAACAACAATAGCAATAGTAATAACAACAACAATACACTAGTGAACAAAATTGCGGAAACACAGCAATTTTCTTTAACTTTTATAAAAAAAACAATTTTATGAAGCCAAAAAATTCTTTATTTATATTTTTAATTAGTTTATTTATTAATCACAACTTGTTAATCAAATATTTGTATTAATTACATATAATTTTGATAGTTAAATTAGCAATAACAACAACAATAGCAATAGTAACAACAACAACAATAGTAATAATAACAACTATAATAATAACAACACGGATTCAACAATATGGCCGCCTCAACAAAATGTCTTCAACTTATTGTTGTCATGTTCAGTCTCGTTCAATTGGTTGTATTTTATTTTTATTTGTTTTGTATTTATCTCTCTATATTTATTACCATTATATTGACATCACTGTTTACAATCAAGTAGCACACACACACACACACACACACACACACACACACACACACACACACACACACACACACACACACACACACACACAAACACACTAACAAGTAAACACACACACACAAACACACTAACAAGCAAACACACACACACACACACATACAAACAAACAAACATGCAAGCAAAACACAAAAAAACTACAAGACTTGACTCGACACAACCACTAGCTGCTCGGTTTATTCGTCCTCATCATTGGTGGAATAGGTTCAAATAGGTCAGATGCAAGGGTCAAAGAGGTTTTTGGGTTCTTCGTCGTTGTCGGCTGTGTCATCATCGTCGTCGCGATCTCCAGTTTTGTCGGAGCTATCATAAGAAATGTCTGCCTCCTGATCATTGTTAGAAGAAGTAGTGGTAGTAGTAGTAGTAGTGGTGGTAGTAGTAGTAGTGGTAGTAGTCATAGCCGTAGTAGTAGTAGTAGTGATAATAGTAGTAGTAGTAGTGATAATAGTAGTAGTAGTGGTAGTAGTAGTAGTAGTGGTGGTAGTAGTAGTAGTAGTAGTAGTAGTAGTAGTAGTAGTAGTAGTAGTAGTAGTGATAATAGTAGTAGTAATAGTAGTAGTAGTAGTAGTATTAGTAGTAGTAGTAGTAGTAGTAGTAGTAGTAGTAGTAATATGGTAATAGTAGTTTAGTATACATAGTATTAATAGTAACAATTTATTAAATTCATTAATCTTTTTTATTTTAACGTTATATGCTGTGAATTATTTTGTCTGTACACACACACACACATACACACACTTACACAAAATCACATACACTCATATACACGTACAAACGTACACACACACGTACAAACAAACAAACAAACTTACAGTCCTGTATATTTATCGTTGTCGTTTTCTTCCTCAGTATCATCAGTATCATAACCCTTTCGTTTTTTATACCCGGACAAGTGAGAGAATGAATGAATGAATGAATGAATGAATGAATGAATGAATGAATGAATGAATGAATGAATGAATGAATGAATGAATTAATGAATGAATGAACGAACGAACGATTGAATGAATGAATGAGTGAATGGATATATAAATAATTGAATAAATAGATAAATGAATAAATTTACAATCGAACTTTCTTAAAAACATTTTAATAATAATTATTTTTAACAAATTGAACAGATATTGGTCTTTCAGAATCAGCGTTTCAACGGCAACATGCCTACGTACCTAAAAGACGTTTCCTCGAAGCAAATCATTGACGACTTTCAGAGGTGGTCTGTGGTGCTGGCTCCGTTTATCAAGTCGCTGAAGTAGTTTTGATTCCTGGCCGGCACTGATGCTGCATAGAATAGAGATATACACCTAAAATATAAAGTCGTGCATCGTGTGGAGTGCGTCGTACCACGTGTGTGTCCTTTAAACTTTTGAGAAAAGTTAAAAAAGTGAATTTGAATTAAAAAAAATAAGAGCATTAAACGTTGACCTAGAGTGAGATTATATTTACTGATGATATAAAATATGATATGATGAATGGCAAATTTGATTATGGCTTGAAGAGAGGATTTGGCGTGAAGTGGGAGTGCGAAGCTAATTGCGATCTGTACTAGGGCTGGAATGACAGATTCGACCATCTGAAATAGAACTCTTAAATAAGATGTGATTGAGTGAATTTGAAATTTGGGACAACGTTTGCTGTTGTACCATCTTAAATATACCGCGTTGTTATGTTTTTGTATTTTTCATTTTTTTTCATTCTAATTGTAAATGGACATTGTTGTGTGTGTTTTGTGTGTGTATGTATATGTGTGTATATTTACACAATTATATTTAATGTATACATATATAATATATATATATTATTATTATTATTATTATTATTATTATTACTATAGCTATTAGTAATATTATTGTAATTTTGTTTTTATTGTAGCATGGCTGTTATGGATTCAACAATTTCAGTGACTGGCTGGCGATTCCTGGATTCTTGAACAATGGAGGACTGCCGCTGAGCTGCTGCAACCTCACCAACGGAAGAACTGACGTCAGCTCCACCTGTCATTCCGTTAAGGATAAGGCTAAAGTTCACGAAAGGGTGATGAAGACGACGATGATGATGTAATGGAGATGATGATGCTGGTGGTGGTTGTGGTAATGATGATGGTGATGATGATTACAAACGAAACAGGGATGCAAAACAGCATTTGTTGAATCTTACCTATCGACCTCCTCTATGTGCGGCACAACGTCAATATTTGCCTCTCTGATTACGGTTAGTCGTATTGCGATGATTTGGATAGTGTAAGGGTTAAAGCGTCCGGTACGTCTGTTGCAGTTGCGGGGTTTAAATGCAAAGATATTCTCTATTTCAACGTTCATTTTGTGAGTGATGCGTGGGTTTTTGTGTATTCACATGTGCCGTGTGTGTGTGTGGGTTGATGTGTTGTGTGTGTGTGTGTGTTGATGTTATTTCTAAAAATTAAATATTTAAACAAGAATTTATAGAAACTATATGAGCTATATTGATTATGTTATTGAATTTATAATTTTCACCCAACAGCTCGTCGTGCTGCTGCTGTTCTCAATATTGACTCACAAACTCAGAATGGAGAATAATTAAAAAATTTTTAACACGCACACCACACACACACACACACACAAACACACACACACATACACACACACACACAAAAAACACACACAAACACTCTACTATAACTTAATGTTTATAAAAATAAACTTAGGTAAAAAATAAACTCGTTACAACATAGTTTTTATTTAATTCTAAACATGCCTCAACTAAGCAAATGCACCTACATAGATTTATCTTTTAAAATATTAAACACACATCCTCATCATCATCGTCGCCATTCTCATCATCATCATCATCATTGGAAAACCTAACACTAATCTCAACAAAAATATTTATTGTGAGAGGGCTTAGCCCTGACCTGGTTGGCTTTGGGGCTCTGCCTTTTTGAAAACGTTTAATGCTTATGATGATGCTGGTTGCTTCGATGGTGGCGACATATCTTATATGCCATGATGGTGATTGTGATGACAAACAGCTGTTCAATTATGACGACGATGGTTATAATTATGATAATAATGATAAAAATGATAATGATAATAATAATAATAATATAAATCATGGCGTTGATGATGATGATAGCGTTGATGAATATGACGACTGCCACGATATAACCAATTGGAGATAGCTGCAATGATGATAATTGTGATGAATGTCCGTGACGATAATGATACTAACTGACTATGATAATGATACTGACGACAATGATGATAATGATACTAAATAAATTTAATGACAAGTTGTCAAAGCAAGCCATCTTACGCGTGGAAATCGCTGAGCCAACTGTTTCCCAACAATTCCATAGTAACCCTGAGCAAATATAACTACGTACACATATTTGTTTACACACACTCACACACTTACTCACACACATACACACCCACCCACTCACACACACGCACACACACACACACACACACACACACACAAACGTACACACACACACATACACACACGCGCGCAAAAATGATGTTGCCAATACAACTTGATTTCTTACTATGGTAATGCTTGGTCACATACATACACACATACACACAAACTAATACATAGCAACACACACATACACACAAACATACGTTCCCCCAAAGGTTTCTGTTTTATCATTTGGGCTATATTCAACAAATTTGGCAACCTTAAATCATTTCCAACATACCAAACTAAAATTTTTACGTACGCTTAATTATAAGCATAAGAAACTATTATTAATTAATTAATTAATTAATTAATTCTTTAAAATTAAAATACTAACAATATCATTTAGTTGGGTCACTAAAAATATGAAAAAACAGCATAAAACATGATGCGATATAGAGTATTGATTAAATATACTCATAACATTAAAAGATATATAGAAAAACCTAGTACGGATCTATGTATATATAAGTCCGAGTATATATGTCTCTCTCTCTCTCTTTCTCACTCTCTCTCTCTTACTATATATATATATGTTATATATACTATACAATATATGTTCATATATTAGATACATGGCTCTATTTTGATGACATTTTGTTGAAAAATTTTGAATCGGGCGTTTCAGATCTGAATTATTAAACTAAAGGTTAGTATATAATTTATTATTATTGTTATTATTAATCTTTATTATTATCACTACTATTTTTATTTTTTATTATTTTTGTTGTTTGTATATTTCATTTGATGAGTAAATTCGTTTTCTTGATAGAGAGAGAGAGAGAGAGAGAGAGAGAGAGAGAGAGAGAAAGAAGGAGAAAAGTGAACATTTTATTTTGCGTCGGTTATTTCAAAATTTTCACGTCTGTCAGTTCGTAACGCGCGTATATAGTGCAATATCAGGCTATTAATTTTTTCTATTATTCTTTATAACATCTATTTAAATGTTTTGGTTACAATTTGTTTACTAAAACTTTCAAATATAAATAAGTATCGATACAAATATCGATTGACGAAAACCGTTTAAAAACAGTAGTGGTTGTTATAGTGATAGTAGCAGCGATAAAACTAGCAGTAGTAGTAGAAGCAGCAGCAGTAGCAGTAGTAGTATTATTAATAGTAATAGCGAAATATACGTACATACATTAGCTTGGGTTAATTTCAAATACAACGTATTAATAGAACTAGAAATCAATAGAACTGTGACTCAGAAAATAAATTGCGGACCGAGTCGAGGTAACATTAAACATTTGTCGGATCTCTCCCTTTTTTCTCAGTGGACTGGATAGATTTTCAATTTATTTTTTTGTATAACTTCAACTAGTTAATTGGTTAGTTAATTAGTACGTTTTGATGTTTTGACAAAATTTTATGAGTAAAACTGAATGGCGAACATATTTTTTTCAGTCTCACATGCCTAAGTTGCGTTTTTAAAGCATTCATTTAATGAAAATTTTTTTATAATATTCAAAGTTGAAAATAGATCAATCAAATCGTTGATAATAAAATGGCGGTCCTATCTGGGAATGAGTTTATGAAAAATTTTATTGGCCAAACAGATTATATTGACGCTTGGCTTGAGAACAACGAATGAATGGACAACTGAACGAACAAATTAACGAACAAACAAACGGATGAACAAGCAAACAAACGAACAATACTGAATATTTGTTTGAGAATTTTTAAGCAGTTCATCTAGTGCAAATTTCGTTAATGTTTGCTTAGGAAGACTCGTAAGATGACGATTCTTTTTAACATGAAAGCAAATCAGAAAATAATTAAAGTATTATTTAGGGAGAGGTTCTTTTAAACTGTCTTTAAGTTAACGAAAAAATAATTATAATTGTATGTTATACAATCTAATAATTTATATAACGCCTAACAAACACACACACCACACACACACACACACACACACACACACACACGCACACTTACAAAACAGATACATACAACGTACAACATATACAAACATGTATACGTCGAAGATACAAACACGTGTACATACAATTATCGCAAATACAAACACGCACACATTTAAATACTTACAAACAAACAAACATACAAAACAGTGACGTCATAAGTACCGCAACTCTAATAGAGGAAAATGTCTGGAGTGGTCAAGTGTCTTCAAGTTTTTGTCTCCTTGCTCTGCATTATTCAGCTGGTAAATTTGCTGACATTATAACATTAATAATAATTTATTTATAATAACAATAATATTGTCATTATTATTATTGTTATTATTATTAAATTGAATATTATTTGTTTGTTATTATTACTGTTCACGTCATATCAAATTTACATTTGCTCGACAACGTTCGCTAGTATAAAAGTCATTTCTTCTTATTACCTCTTCCGTATAGTCACCGTCGTAGGTATTCATTTTTTTTAGGGTTATTCGCCTCTATATTTTTCAGACGGTGCAGTGGTAAAGTGTCCGTCATCTGTGTTACACTGACAAGGTTTGAATGCAAGAAGATCCAAGCATGTATATTATAAGTCTGCACGCAAAAAGCTGTATGCATGCGGAAAAATTGATTTAAAGCACACCTGACAATAAAAAGAAGGTGCTATATAAATGACGCGTAATTATTATTATTAATATTATTTCATTATTATATTATTTTTATTATATAATTATTATTAATGTTATTTCATTATTATATTATTTTTATTATATTATTATCATTATTATATTATGCGTATTGATATTAATTGCTACCATTACTTGTTAAGGGTCAGTATCATTCTATCAATACTGCTATGGATGTTGTCGTGTGATGGTGTGTATGTGTTTATGTGTACGTGTGTAGTGTGCATGTGTTGCGTGTATATATGCTCAATCAATATGTGTGTATATATTAACACATAAATAAATATATATATATATATATATATATATATATATATATATATATATATATATATATATATATATATATATATATATATATATATATATATATATATGTGTGTGTGTGTGTGTGTGTGTGTGTGTGTGTGTGTTTCATTGCATATTTGGCGTTCCATTCTAATGACGTCATCAACAGTGATGTGCTTGCGTTGTTATTTGCTGAATCTTTTTTACAACAAACAGCACCACGTCTTGGTGTCGCCGTCGTCATTTGCAAGACTATGAATGTGCACTGTATAAATACAAATAGTTAACAGTCTCCTCCTTGGTGTCACTACCATCACTGACGTCATAAACATCATCACCATCATCACTGACGTCATAAACATCATCACCATCATTACTGACGTCACGAACATCATCGTCGTCGTCGTTTTCGTCATTTCATTCAAATTTTTGTAATCAACGACTTCATATGCATCGTTTGGTAAACAGTTTTAAAAGCTTTTGAAGTGTCTAATTTGTTTACCAATGCTACTATAACTATTGCTTTTTTGCTACTCCTACTGTTTATGAGGCTACTAATGCTACCACTGCTGCTACTACTTCAACTGCTTTTGATACAACTTTTAGTGCTGCCGATTCATATCCTAACAAATTAGTAATTCTTATCGAGTTTACGTATTTTACTATTTTTAAATAATTCCAATTGCTATTCAACAGTTTAGACAGTGAGGTAGCTTAGTGGGTAAAGCACTTGACTACTGGTGTTGCAGTAGCGGGGTACGAGCGCAAAAAAATCCCCATCACTCACATGTGTGCGTGGCTGTATACTGTATTGTTAATTAGGAGAATTTTCAGAAAAATTAATAGTAGTTAAAATATACACTAATATGCCATCATAGTTTTGTCTTATGAGTTAATAGTGCTGCTGAAAATTTTTCAAGAAGTTCTGGAAAAGAAAAAGTGTCTTTTTTAAATGATATTAAAAAAATTTTTGAAGTATAATTCCAGTTAAATCTTCAAAAGAAACTCAGGTAAGACGAGTGCGTACATTCACACACACATACCATCACATACACACACACAACACACACACACACTTCCACTCACATACACAGATACATCACACCTACACACACACCTACACACACATACATAGACAGGTAGCATGTAGGTATGGATTTTTGCGTTTACTGCTGTATACAAAATTTTTATTTAAACGCCCACACACATACCACACACACACACACACACACACACACACACACACACACACACACACACACACACACACACACGTTGACATCATCGTTATCTATTTTATCATGTTAGTAACTTATCAATAAACATCTTTAAATAAAAATAGTCACATACATCATAATCGTCATAATCAACGCCACTATACTCATCATCATCATTTTCATCATTATCTTCAACTTCGCATTCATCATCATCATCGTCGTCGTCGTCACCAGCATCATCATTATCATTTTCCTCATCACCATGTTCATCTTATCTTCTTCATCTTAATCGTCGTCATCACCACCATCATTATCATTTTCTTCACCACTGTTTTTATCATCGTCATCATTACCATCCCTATAACCACCACCACCACCACCACCACTACCATCCTCCTCAGGCCCTAGGTATCGCATTTCTGGTTTTGGGTGGGATTAGTTTCGGTAAATCCGGTGGCAATACGGAAACGAGGTCATCCGCCATCTTCTTGTTGGTGGTCGGTAGCATCATCGTCCTTGTGGCCCTTTTCGGTCTTTTTGGCGCCATTTCTAAAAATAGATGTCTCCTTATTATCGTTAGATCATTTTTTATTCTTTTTAATTGTTTAGTGACGTTGTTGTTGCTATATTTCAATTTCTACCTATCATCTATTCATTTTACTATTTGTTCGTCTACTTTCACATCCATCTATCCATCCCTTTATTCATTAATTAATCCATCCAATCATTAATTTATTTATCCATCTATTCATTTATCTATTCATCCATTCATCCATCTATCCATCAATCCATCCATCTATCCATCAATCCATCCATCTATCCATCCATCTATCCAGTTCTGCGTCTTCACAGCTCTCACCCTGGTTCTCAGCATCATCTGCCTCATTGTTGGATTTGCTCTGCCCGGACCCGTGAGCTATTTTTAGACCAAATCATCACATATTTATTGATTATGATAATTATCATTGAAGTAATTAACATAATTATTAAATAAGCTGATTATTTATGTTAACGCTTGTTAATAATAATTGATCTATCCATCCGTTTATCCATTAATCTATCCATCTATCTAGTCATCCATTTATCAATCATCCATTCTTTTATCCATTTATTCATTCATTCATTTATTTTTTCAAGCATTCATCTTTTCATGATATACATACATTTGTTTTTTTTATTATAGCAAATTAACGGAAAATTATTTTTAAAGGCAACTGATCAAGTGAGTAAAAAATTCAACGAGTCCATGTTCAATTATAAGACGGACTCTGCTAGTACCCTCTACATCAATGCCATGCAGAATGGCGTTAGTAATAAAAATACATAATAATAATAATAATAATAATTATTACAATTTTAATTTTAATTATGATTAATTAAAATGTCAACTCTAACCTAACTCTAACAGAAGCCCCAAAGTAGTAAAAGTTGCAGTTGTAGTATTAGTAGTAGTAGTAGCAGTAGTAGTAGTAGTTGCAGTAATGGAAGTAGAAGTATCAGTAGTAGTAGTAGTAGCAGCAACAGTAGTAGTATTTGTAATAGTGGTTGTAAATAATTTTAGAGTACAAATTAACGCAGAAAAGTAAATTCGCCAAAGTAAGATACGAAAAGATAAAAATGAATTCTTGAAAACAGTTCGAGTGCTGTGGCTACAACGACTTCAACGATTGGAGGAAGGTTCCTTCGTTTGCTCCAACCGAGCTACCGACGAGCTGCTGCAAGAATTCAACCGGAACCACGAAGTATTGTGACGTCAACCTGAATAAAGATCTGGTGTATCAGAAGGTGAGATATGATGGGGATGATTGTGACGATGATGATTGTGATGGTGATGATGACTATGATGATGATGATGTTAATAGAAAATTACTCGCATATTCATAGGTGTAGTTACTCAAAAGAGGCATTTTTGTATACGCACAAGTACGCTGAGCAAACTGTATTACAGAGAGAATGACATTGATTGTGTGTGTGTGTGTCTGTTTGTTTGTGTATCTATGTGTGTGTTTGTGTATGTGTGTGTATGTGTGAATGTGTGTGTATGTGTGTGTGTGTACGGTGTTGGGTGTGGTGTGTAGTAAATCTGTAAATATTTTTAGCGTCAAGTGCATGTAAACTGTGTGTATTTATACAAAAACACAATACAGAAAACAGCTGGTTTAGGTTGTATTCACACCGCTGTATGTATTGTATATATATATATATATATATATATATATATATATATATATATATATATATATATATATATATGTATATGTGGGTATGTGTATATGTGCGTGTGTGTGTTTGTATCTGTATGTATGTATTTTGTATGTGTTTACACATATGTGTAAGTGTTTTAAACATTGTTTGATAAAAATTAATAAATTTATCAAACTCAACATAAAACTTTAATTATTTAACCAACCAGCCAACCAATGAACAAAACTTTCAACCAATCAATCAACCAGCCAACCAACCAACCAACCAAACATACAACTATCCAACTAACCAACCAACCAATCAACCAATGAACCAGACGTACAACCACCTAACCAATCAAACAATCAAACAATCAATCAAACAATCAACCAACCAACCAGGGATGCAAAACGTTGATCGAAATAAATTTGAAATCAATTCTACACGGTTTCGGTATCATCTCAACCATTACCGCCGTTGCTCTGGTCGGTTTTACACTACTACTTTCACCACCACCACCACCACTACTACTACTACTACTACTACTACTACTACTACTACTACTACTATTACTACTACTACAACTACTACTACTACTACTACTGCTGCTGCTGCTGTTTCTGCTGCCGCTACTTCTACTACAATACTCGTAACACAACAATACAATGATTAAATAATAAAAAATATTGATTGATTAATAAAATATAAACAAATAATAAATTAATAAATTGATTAATAATCAAATAAAATTAAATTTAAAATTATTCTCTCGCCAACAGCTCATCACATTAATCCTGGCTTCTGTACTGACGGACAAAATCCGAGGCGAGCAATAGTTATCGGTATAATCGGCTCGGGTGTCGGTTATATTCGAACGATTAGTCGGCTATATCGAATAACTAATGGGTTGATTGACTGATAGATTGATCGGTTTTATTGATTAGTTAATTGATTAGTTGACTGATTAATTAATTACATTTAATCAATTGAATGATTGATTGAAGAATAAGTTGATAGTTGAATTAGACTGATTGATGGCGGATTGACTGATCGGTTGGTTGATTGACTGACTGACTGACTGACTGACTGGTTGACTGATTGATTAAATGATTGATTGATTGATATATTTTTGAAAAATAACATATTAGATGGAAATTTTTATTTATATGCAGCTGTTTAGCAGCATTTTTTTTTAATATTTGTGATCAACAAACTACCGGTAAAAAAATTTTCTATATCATTCTCCAGCAACATTTCAACTTTATATACGTTAATTTTAAAATTATTTAGTAGCTGTTAATAATGATGACGATAATGACGATGATTATGAGCATGTTTATAACGGTTATGATCGTGGTTCATTTTTAGAGATTTAAATAGATGTTTTGAACTTTTTTTCTTCTTCTTATTTTTTATCAAAACAATATGAAATAAGTTGGTTGTATGTGAGGAGAGAAAGAGAGAGAGAAAGAGAGAAAAAGATAGAGAGAAAAAGAGAGAGAAAAAGAGAGAGAAAAAGAGAGAGAGAGAGAGAGAGAGAGAGATGAAGAAATAGCTCGAAAGAAAAACAATAGAAAAAAATTAGAGAAAAATAAAAGAATTAAATAGAGATAGAGAGAAAGAGAGAAAGAGAAAGAAGGAGTGTAACTACGCCTGACCTGAAAAAACGATTTGACAACAAATTATTTGTTAGTATTTGGACGAATAACTTTATCATATGCACACATATACAATCCCTTTATCCTGTGTGTGTGTGAGTGTGTGTGAGTGTGTGAGTGTGTGAGTGTATGTTGTGTGAGAGTGTGTGTGAGTGTGTGAGTGTGTAAGTGTGTGTGCGTGTGTGTGAGTGTGTGTGTGTGTGTGTGTGTGTGTGTGCAGAACATATTTTTTTAAATTGAGCTTCAACGCCAATATTTTGCATCATTTGATTCATGTTTGGTTCATCGTCGGGGTTGATGTACTTTATTAGAAAATAAATTTTTAAAAAATCTTTTCTGAATGTTTTAATTCAGAAAAAAAAATAAAATAGAATCGATCTATTGAATAGAATATTAATAAGAAAGGATATTAATTTAACATTAAAAGCAATCAAAAACTAGAGAACAATAGTGCTGAATTGAAACTATCTAGGTAACTTTTATATTTATATTTCCAATTTGTATTTTGGTAATTTTTCTTATTTTTTTGCTTATTTTTAATCTTTCTTTGTTTACATAAGAAGACTGTTTACAAATTGAGATTGTTTATAGTTTAAGTTTCAATAATAGTCTTCATATAGAAATTTTTTTCAAATGACCAACCGGCCATAGCCTATACTTAAAATGACGTCCTTAGTCCATGTTATGATTGAAATATCGAAGTAGAAAAATTATTAAGACGAAATAAATAAAAGTAATAACAATAATAAATAATAATAATAATAGTATAAAAGTATTAGAAATAGTTGTAGTGGTATTAGTATTTACAACAAGTAGTAGCAGTAGTAGTAAAATATTGTGGTAGTAGTAGCAACGGCAACAGCAGCAGTAGTAGTAGTTGTTGTAGTAGTTGGTAGTAGTTAGTAGTTATAGTTTTGGTAGTAGTAGTAGTAGCTGTTAAAAGTGCAAAAATGAAGAAAGTGGCCGCAAAGAAATTTAATGTACGTTATGTTTTATTTCAATTGAAAAATATAGATAGAAATTAATTTATTCATTCATTCATTCATTCATTCATTCATTCATTCATTCATTCATTCATTCATTCATTCATTCATTCATTCATTCATTCATTCATTCATTCATTCATTCATTCATTCATTCATTCATTCATTTATTCATTCATTCATTCATTCATTCATTCATTCATTCATTCATTCATTCACTCACTCACTCACTCACTCACTCATTCATTCATTCATTCATTCATTCATTCATTCACTCACTCACTCACTCGCTCATTCATTCATTCATTCATTCATTCATTCCTTTTATTTTTGCTAAGATGTGGAAACATCAGACAAAAAAAAGCCGGACAGCTATTGCAGTTGTCTCCATTTTACATTTTGTAAGGATTAATTATGATGACGACGACGATGACAACGACGACAATGATGATGACGATGATGTGATGATGATGACGATGATGGAGATGATAATATACATACAAGACAAAAACGAAATTAATAATAAACATAAATAATAAAATCCCCAAGTAACATTTTAAATTTTCGCTCCTCCAGGTAGAGGGTGTTGTATTACTGATCACTGCCTCGGTTGTAAGATGGCACTACCTCCCCATTCAAATCATGGACGAGACCGCATCGGCTATTATGACATTTTTTTCCGGATGTGTGGTGACCGTTGGGTCGTTTGTGGGGCTCTGCGGGGCTTACCACAGAAGTAATACCCTCATGAAAATGGTATGGCGCTTGATTTTTATTTACTGTTTTGTCACCAGCATCATTATCTATTTATATCATCATCGTACTTATCATTATCGTCTTCTACATAAGCATTTACATTCCTCATTAACTTTATCATCATCAACATCATCATCATCGTCGTCTTCGTCGTCGTCATCATCATTACGGGTTCTAACCTAATTTTACTTTAAAATTTATCGTAGACGTAAAAATTTTGGAAAAAATGTTTAAAAAATTTTTCAGTTCTTTGTGACCAGCTTGTTTGGTTTTGTGTTCGAGTTGACTGCTGGCCTTCATGCTATTGCACTGAAGGAAAGGGTATTTTTAGATGGATGGATAGTTAGATGGATGAACGAATGAATGAATAAATGAATGAATGGATGGATGAGTGAATAAATGAATAAATGGATGAATGGATGAATGACTGAATGAAAGAATGGCTTGATGGATGGATGAATGAATGAACGAACGAATGAATATATGGATGATTGAATGGATGGATGGATATATTAGTGAATGAAAGGATATTTTAATGAATGATTGAATGACTGAATGACTGACTGAATGAATAAATGAACGAAGAAATGAAATCTTGGGTGAATAAAAGAATGATAAAAGAACGATTAAATCAAAAAACAAATTAAAAGATAAATAAATGGAGAAATAAAAAGATGGGTCAAAGTACATGAACGAATGAAGGAATGAACGCACAAACAAACGAACGAATGAATGAATGAATTCGCAATCCAATAATGCCTGCAAACATCCAACACAAACTTCCATCTCAACAAAAAAAATGTCTACAAATATTTTTTGTACGCAATTTTTTTTCCTTTCTGTTGTGCAGACGAAATTAGCCAACAAGCAAGAGTTAATGAAGTTCTTTAACGGTGCTCACAATCTCACTCCCCTGATAAACGTTCAAAATTACGTTAGTGAGCGAGACAAATAAATAAATACACAAATGTAAAATAAACACAACGCAAAATAAACAAATGTAGCCATACAACATTCAACTAATCACATAAACAAAAGACAGACAAACAAGAAAAATGAACAGCGAAAAAACCATACAGACATACATAGAACATGCAAAACTACACATACATGCAAAACAAACAAGCAAGCAAAACTACACAAACATGCAAAACATACAAACAAACATGACCCAATAAACAAACAAACAAACAAACAAAGATAGTTTCAATGTTGCGGGGTGGAGAGCTACAAAGACTGGATGCTAACAGAGAGCTACAGGAGTGGCTTGGAACTGCCCGTCAGCTGCTGTCCACAGGGATTCACTGCTTGCATCGTTGTTCAAAATCGTTACTATCAAACTGTACGCATCTGTGTCTGTCTGTCTGTCTGTCTGTCCGTCTGAGTTTATGTAAAGTCGGTCTGAGTTAGGGTAAAGTCTGTCAGAGTTTGTGTGTCTGTTCGTGTTTGTATGTCTATGTTTGCAATATATGTACTGAATTTTACCATTTTGACATTATTATTCTTTTAATTTTCGTCACTAAACGAAGCTTATTTTGTTTCGTTTCGACTCAACGGTTGGATTTTTATTTACGAGCAGGGTTGTTTGGAGCCACTTTCTGAAAACAGTCAGTCCAACATGAAGAACTTGGGAATTGTTAATCTCGTCTGCGCTTTCCTTCACGTCGGTCATTTCACATTTATGATTTTTGGTTTCAAAATAATAAGTACCTGCAGTAGTAGTAGTAGTAGTAGTAGTAGTAGTAGTAGTAGTAGTAGTAGTAGTAGTAGTAGTAGTAGTAGTAGTAGTAGTAGTAGTAGTAATAGTAGTAGTAGTAGCAGCAGTAGAAGTAGTAATAGTAGTAGTAGTAGTAGTAGTAGTCGTGATAGTAGTAGTAATAACAACAGCAGTAGCATTGATAGTAACTAAACCTTTATATACAAATGTATACACATAATCCAACACACACATACTTACACACACACACCCGCGTGCAAACAACACAAACATTCAGAATATAATATAACAATAACGAATAAAGTTAAAGTATAAAACTCAAAAGATTAATATATACAAAGTTATACAAATTTTATCCAACTCCAGGCTTTCCTCTTCATACCAAAAATTTACTTCGTTATTCAAAACAAAGTCCAGGATGAGTTTCGCGTGTCTGTCGAGACGAAGAAAACCGACGAAACCTTATTGGCTGAAACCGCAGATAGAAAAGAATAAAACTAATTAAATGATTAATTAATCAACTAATTAATTATTATAAATTAATTGATTTATCCAGTGTTATATATGTATATATATACAATTTTATTATTATTTGATTTGATAGGGTTCAACTGTTTTAGGAATAAATTTTATTTTTCCAAAAAAATTTATTATCCAATTTGGCGTCTGTGAAGTTTATTTCAATTCAACGGTGTTTGTAAACAAGAATCTAAAACAATTTTTTCAGCCATTAATTTATAATTATTATAAAACAGTTTTTATTATTATAAGTTATATATTTAACATATTAATATAGAATTAATTAATAATAAGGCTAATTTATTAATTATTTAAATGAGTTTTTCACGTATATTCAAAATATTTTTTGAAAATGCCATTGCAAGATTCAAGTATATATTACGATTGAAATCATGATGTAATGATACCGGTATCAGTAGTAGTTGCAGTAATGGTGGAAGTTGGTAGTAGTAGAATTAGCAGTAGTTGCAGTAGTGGTAGTTGGTAGTAGTAGCAGCAGAAGTAGTCCACATCTTCTGATAAGAGCGTTATTTTATAAAGCGAATCTCCAAATAAATTAATCAATTATTATATCTTCTTATTACTTGCTTACTCAATTAACTAGTTTATTTATTTATGACTGATGGGTTTATTCATTTCATTTTTATTTTGTGAGTCCCACTAAAAACGTCATCAATAATTTTCCATTGTAGAGATTTGACGACTAGAACGTATCGTCGTTACGTTAAATGCTTTCCATTTGCTACGAAGGTTTGACGTTAATTGATCACCAGATTTCTCATTTGTTTACAAACCAAATGTTGAATTGTTACCTAATGATTTATATTAAAATATACCTTTTTCATTCAAATGATTCAAAAAAATTTTAGGCTACAGGGATTTTCATGCTAGTGTATGGGAGTACAATCCTTGTTATGGCGGATTTTCTACCGCCGTCAAATGTTTCAGTAGCTTCGTATATTTTAGTCGTCATAAGTTCTGGCTCGTTATTGTTGACGAGTGTTTCTTCTTATCACAGGATTACCCGTTCGAAAAAGTTCTTCTCTGTCTTTGTTGTCAGTTTTTTAATAATTTTTAATTTCGTTTCGTTTAAATTCCTGTGAATTGGGGGTTGTTTGTAGAATAAAAAAGTATTTAACTATTTTGTTTGATAATAAATGAATGAATTTTATTCGATAATTTGTGTATTAGGAATTATTTTAATAAATGATTCACATTTATTTATTATTTATTTTAAACTTCAAATTTGTTTCAAGTTTTATGCATCATTAGCGTTGTCGTTAACTCAGACAACTATAACAACAGCTTACATTCGTCACGAAAGATATCAGGTACACACACACACACACACACACACACACACACACAAACACAAATTGTTATTTATTTCTTGTTATTTGAAATTTTGGTTTCTTTTGGAATCCTTTTCCATGTGTTTTCATGAAATAAACTTGTTTAAACAAAAAAAAAAAAAATCTCCCAATTTGAACAAATTAACGCTCCTTAATTTAATTAAATTAAAAATGTTTAGAATAAATATACCAGAATAAAACTATCCTCAATATATATTTGTTAATGTGTGTGTGAGAGAGAGAGAGAGAGAGAGTGTGTGTGTGTGTGTGTGAGTGTGTGTGTGTGTTTGTGTGAATTTTATTTTTCATCGCAGCCAACGGACTATGTGGCGATGAAGTTATGGCAGTCACTTCTGAGTGATGACGGACATTATATCGAGTACATTCAGAAAGAGGTGGTCAACTTACGCCAACATAATAATAACAATAATAATAATAATAATAATAATAATAATAATAATAATAATAATAATAATAATAATAATAATAATGATAATGATGATACAAAAACTGCAGTACTCGTGTTGCGGTGTAGAAGAGTACACCGACTGGTACTTCATTGAAAAGTACAACAGGAGTGCGAACCTCCTACCGACGTCTTGCTGTTCCATGAAAGTGGAAATGGAATGTAAAACATCAGATAATTTGTATTATAAATCGGTTAGAAATGTTGTTTTATCGTTGTTGCTGTTGATGTTGTTGTTGATGTTGTTGTTGAGGTAGTAGTTTTAGTAGTTGTAGTTGATGTTATTATTGTTGTTGAAGTAGCAGAGTCTCAGTTGCTATTGCATGTAATGTGATGTTTTTTAGTTTCTTGGTTTTTTCGTGCAGTTTATATATGTAATGTCATGTTGATGTTGTTGCTGTTGTTAGTGTTATAATTGTATTGTTGTAGTTGTTGAAGTTACTTAATGTTTTTTTATTGTCATGTTGTTGTTAATGTCATCATAGTAACGTTGTTGTTGTGATGTTGCAGTAGCTGTCGTGACTTCATCCACTCTCTCTACTGCAGCAGAAACTATGCTACTTTTAATCCTCTAATCCTCCTGACTCATCTTATCTTTTACTCTTCATTCTTTTTCTCGTTCTTCATTCTTTCTTATCGATCTCCCTTTTTATTTCTTTTTTTTCAAACTTTTTCTCTGTTTCTATCTGTTTGTATATCTATCTCTCTCTCTCCTCTCTCTCTTTTTCTCTCTCTTCTCTCTTTCTCTATCCCTCTCTCTCTTTTAACGCTTCGAAATCGTTTTTTATGAGGGGTCCGGAAAAGTTTATCCGCTTTCAAAAATACGATGATGAATATGGTGATGATGACGATGATGATGATGATGACGATGATGAATATGAAGATGATGATGATGAGGAGGATGAGGATGATGGTGATGGTGATGCTACTGCTGATGCTGATAATGATGTTGATGACGATTACGACGATGATGATGATGATAACCATGATGATGCCAAGCGTGATGATGATACTCACCATCAGAAGAGTTATAATTATTCTTATAACCATAATTACATTTGTCAACGTCATAATTATGTGTTCTCATCATATTTCTGCCAGAATTGTGGTACGATATACAAGTCAGTGACGAATGATATTTTGGATGTTATGTTATATTTCTACTATGTTCATTCTTTACTCATGGTTTGTGTTGGTTAGGAGATTAAGTGAATGGTTGGTTTGCTGGCTGGTTGGTTGGTTGGCTAGATGGCTGGTTGGTTGGCTGATTGATTGATTAATTAATTCCAATGATTTTCTTCAGATTACAATTGTTTTTGGCATGTACAGAGCCTATTGCAAATCACTAAATTCCGAAGTTTAAACTTTTAAAATTTATGATATAAGTGACGGAAAGATATCATTTAATATTTTAACATCATGTTTTATGATGTGACCATATATTCATATATTAATTAATTCATTAACTCATTCATTTATTCATTCATTCAGTTAGTCATTTAATCATCCATAAATTCATTCAAACATTATTAATTTTGATATAGTATTTGAATGCATTTGAACGCTGAAATGGATTTTCAGAATTTCTAACTTTTGAACTTTTATGTTTATTTATGACTTAGTTAAAGGTGGCCTCTCCACAAGTTTATTTTAAACTTATTTGGTCCTCTATAATATAAAATAAATAAATAGAATAAATAAATATATATATATATATATATATATATATATATATATATATATATTCTGTTAATATATTTTATCAATTTAAACGCTTTTTCAATTTTAATGTATATATCACACGAGAAAAAGCCTGAAATATAATAACAATAATGATGTAACTGACGATACAACAATGGCAAACAACAACAATTACAGTAACAAAGATGACCATAACAATGATGACAATAACAAGGATGGCAGTAAATGATAGTAAATGACATCAACGATTTTACTCATTCCAAAGAATAGAATAATTTCCAATATTGTTTCTGTTTTGACGTTTCCATTAGAAACCCTGATACACGCACGTACACACACACGCACACACACACACGTACGCACACAAACAGACAAGCACACGCACGTTTACATGATACATATATCCAAAGATAGGATAGATATTTATACATGTCTTGCTATCGTTTGTTGGCTTAAAGGAAGTTTCTAGTCATTCAAGGCACGACAAAAATGTGCTGGAACAAAAATTTAATTCAGTGTTATTAGTGCAGTTGGACTGACTGACTGACTGACTGACTGACTGACTTTATTCATTCATTCATTCGTTCGTTCGTTCGTTCGTTCATTCATTCATTCATTTGTTTGTTTGTTCAATCGTTCATATGTTCATTCATTCGTTTATTCATTGCTTTTGTTTGTGTTAGTTTGCTTGTAGTTGTGTATTTTTTAATCGTGTTTTAGCGTTCATAATTTAAATGGATGTTTGTTTGTTAGGGAGAGTTCACGCTGAGAATGAATGCTCCAACAAAACATCTTATGTACGTGCAGTTGAAACATATACGACAAACAAAATCAATCAACTACCTACTAACTTCTTCTTTCTCAACCTTTTTTCTATTTCTCTCTCTCTCTCTCTCTCTCTCTTTTCACTCACACACACACACACACACACACACACACACACACACACACACATACATAAACATTCGTATAAAAAATATTCTTACATAATAAATTATTCATCATCATTGTGAGCTTACAAAACAGAAAACTCAGGTGTAAACTTAAAAAAAAACTTCGACACATTACGTAACCGGCTTATGTTTTCTTTTGTGCCGTCTTTTAAAGAAACCTTCCAAAAAACACGTCAGAAAATGTTTACTACCATAAAAAAAACAACAGCGATGGTGAAGACAGTATGGGATGTCTCTCACCACAGCAAACAGTGGCTCGTTGTGCTGGTTCGAACTCTAACAAAATCCTCTCTGTTATTATGATCAAGTAAACGTATGATACGTTCCGAAAGATATACACACACACACGCACACAAACACACATACACTTACATACATACACACGCATACACTCATACACACACGCTTACACACATAGACACATGCATACATACATACATACACGCATCATTCCTACATCAAATGCAAAAGTTATTTAGGCATAAACAGACCGCAAGCATTATGGGTGTTGATTAGACAGTGATACATTTGCATACAAATAGAAATATACGTGGATGTATATATACAAAAAAAACATTATAAAGTAGTTTTGTATATACAAACATATAAAATTGAAAAAACAACAACAAAACTATCAAGATGTAAACGAACATTGTATGTAAACCATCTCAGAAATGTCAGCAAACCCGAGTCAACGTAATACGGTCCGTGAAAAAATGGCTATGACGTTATGGGAAACTTAATAAATGTAGAGGCAGATAATAATGAATGCTAGCGTATAAAAACGACATAAAGACATACCTGCATACATACATACAAACAAACATACATACATACATGCATACATGCATGCATACATACATACATACATACATACATACATACATAAATACATGCCTGCATACATACATACATACATACATACATACATACATACATACATACATACATGCATACATACATACACACATACATACATACATACTCCCTTACATTAACGAAACTACAACTAGCAGTATAGACAACAATTTCAACAACAAAATTAACCACAACAGCAACAACAACATCAACAACAGCAACAACAACATCAACAACGACACCAACGACAACATCATCATCATCATCAACAACAACATCACCAATAACAACAACATCATCACCAACAGCAACATCATCATCCTCAACAACGACAACAACAACATCACCAACAACAACAACGACAGCATCATCAGCAACAACCTCAACAACAACATCAGCAATAACATCAACAATAACATCAGCAACAACAGCAAAAACACCAAGAAGAAGAACACACAATTCGATCGATAGATATTATAATTGCAGGCTCGAGTCTGCATGGTACCAGTAAACGAATTCAGCTTACGCATACCATCCTCTCCCGCACGTTAATATAAGGTATTATAATGCGTATATACGCAAATATACCCATGCTAAACTAATTATTTGCGTGTGTGTATGTGTACGGGTATATAGTTTGTATTTATACAAATCTATATATGTCAGAATGTATGCATATGAATGTATGTTTATGAATGTGTAGATGAATGTGTGTTTGCATGCATGTATATACATGTATGTATGTGTGTGTATATGTGTGTATGTTTCTATGTATGTCTGTATGTTTGCTTATTTGTTTGTTTGTATGTATGTATGTATGTATCATCAGTGTAATAGAGTTTGTATGTATGTATGTATGTATGTATGTATGTATGTATGTATGTATACCCTATGTATGTATGTATGTATGTATGTATGTATGTATGTATGTATGTATGTATGTATGTATGTATGTATGTATGTATGTATGTATGTATGTATGTATGTATGTATGTATGTATGTATGTATGTATGTATGTATGTATGTATGTATGTATGTATGTATGCATGCATGCATGTATGTCTGTATGCATGTATGTATGTATGTATGTATGTATGTTTTTTTTGTCTGTATGCAATCAGTTTATATTGAAATGCGTAGTAGTACTTGACCAGTGAAAAAGTTTTTTTTATTTTTTTCTGAAAAATCGCAAAAATATTTTTGAAAAATTTGATTTGATTGGGTTATTTTTTAAAATCTTGTTGCTCTTATGATGATAAATAAATTTCAATTTTTACTTTTATGATAAAAATGTAATGTTTTTCACGAAATTATATTTCTACTCATTTTTTATGAAATTTTCTAAATTCATTATCGCTCTAAAATTTTTTAAAATATAAATTTAAGTTTCTGTAAAATTCAACAGTTATTAAACTGCGTCTGCGGATAAATTTTGGTACCAAAATGATGACGATGATGGTGATGATGACGACGACGATGATGATGGTCAAAGGATCTCCGGAATCTAGTTCTCAAGAGGTAATTAAGCTTTTTTTTATTTTAAAAATTGATCTGATAAATAAAAATTATGAATTATCATAATTAATTACGAATAACAGTAAATGATAATGAATAATAATAAATAAATGGCAATAAGACATAATAGTGCTAAATAAATAACAAACCAGAACTATAAATTTTAAAACTAATTCCAAGAAACTTCAAGACCTACCGTATACACCAATGGTGGCGTTCAACTGCAAAAAACCGGCCATGCATATGACCAATGAGGGCTGGGTCAGTGACGATGGAAGTGCTATTGAATGCCCCCACGACCCTAAGAACATTCTAGAATACTGCAAACGTGTTAGTTGTTGATTGCTGGGATTCTATATAATGATGTGGTTCTGGCTTTTGAAAAATTCGTTTTGCAAGTTTGGAGTCATTTGGAGTTTATACAGTATTTATTAATTGAGATTACACTTCATACTATGTACACATTTTGAAATTTAAAATTCACAATTTGTTTCTACAATACTTTATAATTCATTGGCCAAACTGTTTATAAATAAAGTTTTTTCCTATTGCTAAATCGTTTACAGAAATCTTTAACCATTATACCATTTTTAATCATTGCATTTTAAATCACTAAACTTCTAATCATTATAGAATTAATCATTAAATGTTCAATATTCCATCTTATCTGGCTGCTGAGTCATTTCTATGAATTCTCGTCTCTTTATAATGAATTCTTAATTTTGAGTATCAAATAAATTTCGTTTCGTTTCCTATACTTTCGTTTCGTATTGTCTCGATTAGGTGTATCCGGATTTAGACGTACGAAACGTTATGGAGACTACTGAATTGAGCCAGATAACGAACTGGTGTAGAAATAGCAAGAGGAGATGCTATCATCATTCGTATACTGTTAGGCCCTACAAATGTCTGGGTCAGTATTATTTTATTATCATAATTATCATAATTACGATAATAAAATACTATTTGTTATCATTATATTATATAATTATATAATAATTAATTTGTCATTTTAGTATTATTCTAGAAAATGTTGGCTGTTGTTGATAGTGAAAAATAAATAAATGTTCTTAGTACGTTTAACTGGTCTATAATACATTGATACTCTATCATAAATTATTAATTACTCTTCCTCTATCTCTCTCTTTTTCTCTCTCTCTTTTTCTTTTCTCTTTCCCTTTAACAAACAACTCTAACAACCATTGAGAAAATACATATCTTTAAAATAATTTCTAAGTAACCGACACTAATTGTGACGTTGAAAACAATACCAACAATCTCACCGGCTGTGACAAAAAAAAGTTGGACCTTTCACGAGTGATGCCCTCCTGGTTCCTAAGAACTGCATCTTCGACCATGTACATGAGGCTAACCACTGCAGAGGTTTTGACGACTGGAACGCTACTGCCATTGCCGCCTGTGCTCAGCGAGAAGATGGCCACTACAAACTTGAAAGTTTTTCAATGATTCAACCTTGCGGCATTGATAGGTTTACTGGGACGGAGTTTGTGTGCTGTCCGAGAGATGACGATGACGGAGACGGTACGTGGTGTTGTTGTTGTTGTTTTGTTGTTGTTTTGTTGTTGTTTTTTGTTGTTGTTGTTGTTTAAAAGACAAAAACTTATTGCAGACGGGATAATATTTACATTAAATTAGTTTAGTTATTTTTATTAATTAGCTAATTCCCACTCGCCAAAAAAAATATTTAAAAATTAGCGGCCAAATCAAAGAACGATCACTTCAGCACAAGCAACGAAAGCAGCAACGACAGCAGCAGCAGCAGTTCAGCAGTCACGACAACAGCGGCAAGCAGCACCCACCCAACACGTCATGCAGGTCACAGAAAGTCAAAGGTCGGTGATAAATGAACGTGGTGGCATTCGACGAAGCGTTTCAAGATATATGTTCTGTTTGTGTGCGTGCGTGTAGGACTATGGGCGTGAGTAAAACAAACAAACACAAACAAACTTAACAATACAAGCAGATACGTGCATTTTATATCTTCACCTTAAAAATGTTTGCAACGCACACACACACACACACGCACACACACACACAGAGCCAGAAATACTCCAACTGGGTGAAACTCAACCATCCACACAAGAATTACCGTCTTCATCACCCGACCGCTACCCCCACAACTACCACCACTATCTTCACCATTGGCATCAATAATGAAAAGACAAGTACCTCAACCACCACAACCACAACCACATTCGCGCCAGACACCGCTGTTACTAGTACTACAGCCAGCATCGCCGCTACTTTTACTACTACTACTGCTACAGTTGCTGCTTTGAAATTTGGTGCGGTCGGTGCCAGCACTTCAACTTCGGCTACTTCAGCCAAAAATTTATTGATTGGCAACGTGGCCACTCTGGCTGCTGAGTCTGTTACTGATAATGTTAATGCGGCCTCTACCATTGGAGTGAGTAGTGAATGAATAAATGAGTGAGTTAATAAATGAATGAATGAATCAGTGAATGAGAGAATGAGTGAATAAGTGAATGAATAAAATAACGAACGAATGAATGAATGAATGAATTGATTAATTTATTAATTATTAATTACTTAATAAATGTATGAACAAATGTATAAATGAACATATTCAGCAAATAAACTAACAAAAAACGAATGAACTAAAATACAAACAAATAAATGAACGATTGAACGAACAAGTAAATGAACAAATTGATTAATTGCCTTGCAGACTCAACCGGGAAACCACTCCATCATCACCCAGGTTGCTGGGAAAAGGGAGGATGACGACGATGATAGTAATGATAACGATCATTACCATCATCATGGTGTGGATTCAAGTGATGATAATGATAAAAACAATAATAGCGATGATGATGATGACGATGATGATGATGATGATGGAAAGAGGAAAAAATTGTCATCCTCAACGGAAAGGATGAAGATAAAAGAACAGAAAAAAGTTGCACTGGAAAATTATCTCAAATCTCTCAACGATGTTCCTATCAAGGTGATGATGATGATGATAATGATGATGATGATGATAAAGATGATAAAGATGATGATGATGATTTTGAATAGGATGTTGACGACACAGTTTTATTTTTAACTACAAAAGTTAATATTAATTTGGATGATAAGAAAAATATTGATAATAACATAATAATAATAATAATAATAACAATAATAATAATAGTAATAATATAAGAAATGAATCACAATCATACCTGCCATTATCAACAAACATCCAGGTTCCGTACGTCCTGACAACTCTGAAGCGCTACATAAAGAGCGAGCAGAGAGACCGAAACTACGTCATTGAGAGCATCAAAGAGCAAAAGAAGCTGCATCCGGAAATGCCGGCTTCCGGCCTGGATGACAAGATAGATGAAAAGTTGAGGGAGATCGATCAGGCGGTTGATGAGGCACTGGAGATGCTGGAGAAGATTCCGAAGCACGGGAAGAAGATGAGGCAGCACATAGGTTTTCATAATGATGGTGGTGATGATGATTATGATAGTGATGATGGTGGTGATGGTAGTTTTGATGGTGATGATGGTGGTGATGGTGATGATGGTGATAGTGATAGGGTTGATTGTGATGGTGATAATGGTGGTTAAGATGAATTTTAAAAATTTCTTTCAGATGATTTTATCACAAAACTTCCGACTGTGGCACAACCGAATTTTGAAAAATCCATCACTCCATCTCTCTTCTCCTCCTCTTCATTGTTATCATCATCATCAATTTTGACGTCATCTTCATCTTTATCGTCATCACCTTCTGGTTTAGAAAACAAAAGTGAAACCGATATTCACGGACTAGTGACCTCCAGCTGGCAAATGTCAAATGATGGGGGTGCGTTTTTTAGTTTTGTTTTTATTCTAATCTTTATTGTTGTTGTCATTGTTATCATGAATGTCGTCAGCGTCATCATCACTTTTTTATGACGTCATCAATATCATTATCGTCTCAGCAGCATCATCATCACCATGGAAACCGAACTCTTTCAACACTCACTCCAAACAACCTTATCTCACCAAACCTTTATCGTCATCATCATCATCACAAGCCCATCTTGATCACGTGCTCGATGACGTCATGTACAAACACGAACCAGTGGCGGGTCACATGATGAAGAACGAGATGAACGTTGAACAGGTTAGTTAGCTGACGTCGTCGTCGTCACTATTGATGCTTCTCACAAATGTTGGCGTCGTTGAAATTTTGTAGTTTTTTGACTTTAACCTTTGTGATCGTGACAAATTATTTCTAGGAATGTTAGTTGGCGAGATAGCTCAGGCGGTAGAGTTGTCATTCCCTGCGGTAACTCACAGCGCGCTGACCTCGTTCGAATTTCACTTATGTCAAATGGCGAAGTCATCACCTGTTTCGCCATGATGCAACGATCGAGCCGCATGCCAATTAGGCTAATAACACAGCAACTACTGCTGAACAAAATGTTTACTTCAAATTAACAGACACACTTTTCCCCACGCGAAACAAACCCAGCACGGTTTTTACAAAAAATTAAACCAAAAACGAACACACAGCCTCGCTACCGAAGAGTTCAACCAATCGGCAGCGGCGACAGCAATGGCAACATGTACATGAGACACCGCGATGAGAAACTGACAAACCCCATCGGAATCATCCTGACAAGCATCGGACTCGTCCTCATCATCGTCATCGGCATCATCGCCCTTATCAAGAGAGTCAACAGCGTCCCCGTCACTAACGGCTACCTGGATAAACCGCTGAAAAGAGGCGAGGCTTTTAAGAGAACCACTTCGATTGCAGGCGGGAGCACCGCGGTGAAATCCGGTGGAGTTCAGAGTCGCCAGAACTCCGTTAATGGCTACGAGAATCCAACTTACCGTTACTACGAAGCAACAAGAGTTGCCGTCTCGTAAATTTGTTTTGTGGTGAGATGGTGAAGGGTGAAGTTTTTTGTGATGGCAATGGTGATTGGTTGGTGGTGATTGGTTGGTGGTGATTGGTTGGTGGTGATTGGCTGGTGGTGATTGGTTGGTGGTGATTGGTTGGTGGTGATTGGCTGGTGGTGATTGGTTGGCGATGATTGGTTGATGATGATTGGTTGATGATGATTGGTTGATGACGGTGTTGATGATTGTGACAAAAATGTGAATAAATTGGATGTAAGATTAAAATTATATTCCGAAGAGTGAGTCTGACGTCATTCTACATTTGTTAACGCAGTGGTGGGTGATTCACTTTTAATAGTCTACTTTATTTATTTTTCAACTTTTTTCTTAATTTTCAACGCTTCTGTTTTTCAATTTGGCTAAGGTCTATTGCATTTGCTTCACGCTAATTTACTAGTTTACATTTCTATTCGTTAATCATTCATTCGTTTATTCCACCGTTCATTCATTCATTCATTCGTTCGTTCGTTCGTTCGTTCGTTTGTTCGTTAATTCTATCTTTCTTTCATTTATTCATTTATATAATCATCTACTCATTCGTTCATTCATTTAGTCGTTCACACTTTAATTAGATTTAGCACTCCTCTGTTAATTCCTAATGCTGAACAGCTGATGATGGCGATGATGATAACAATAATAATTACGACGACGAAGATGATGATAACGATAACAACTATGACAATGAAGAAGAAGAAGATAATGATGATGGTGATGATGATGATGATGAGGAGGAGGAGGATGGTGATGATGATGATGAGGAGGGAGGAGGATGATGACGATGATGACGATGATGATCTTACCAGATGACGATAATTGTGAACGAAGATGTAAGCCTCGAATACAATTTAATTAAATATTCAATCCTTTCATTGCTTGCAGAGAGATTTTCATTATTAGCTCTATCAATATCTGCGTAAGGTTTAAATGTACATTCATTATTGCAAGAATTTGAAAAAAAAAATATTAGATGGCCATTTTTATTATCATAACTCACTTTTAAACAATTTAAATATGGACAAAATTATATATATATATATATATATATATAGATTCATCTAATTATAGAGTTTTTTTGATTTTTTCTATCAACGTCATGACGTCATCAATATTTCATCTAGATGTTTGTTACTACACGTCATTTCCTTGTTAACGCTTTAATCAACATCATCGTCACAATCATCATTATCGCCATCGTCATCGTCGTCGTCACCATCATGGCCATCATCATCATCATCATTACCGTCATCATCATCGTCATTAGTTTGGAATTATTTTTAAATAATAATAAGAATAATAATAATCAGCATTATCATCACACATCATTTTAATTACGTTGTCAAATTCATTCATGTAGTTTGTTTCCGAGTAAAAACCATAACATATAACACATAATTCATACTTTCTACTTTAGATATAGTTATATATATATATATATATATATATATATAAATATATATATATATATATATATATATATAAGATTTCATAATGTTTATATCTAAATATATGATAAATATATGTGTGTGTACGTGTATGTGTGTGTATGCGTTTTTTAAATCTACTAGTGATTACTATACACCGCATAGTTTGTCTAGAGATGTTTTTGTGTTAAGTGTAGAAAATTTTCTCTTAATAATAATAATAATATCAATAATAAACTTTTATGATTATTAGGGTTCAAATATGTGATTACCAGTGTAATGGTAATCATGATATAATCGTTTATGCGTATATGTAAGAATCTATATTATGTATGTATATATATATATATATATATATATATATATAAAGGGTTTTGTTTTAGTGGAAATAGTGAATGTTGTCAAACATATCTGGAAGGTATGATCTCTGCTTTTGTAAACCGAGCCTATACGCACTGCTCACATGTAGGGAGCAGGGGAGCGGAACCAGATAAAGTCGCTAAACTACTCAACTAATAATGGATATAAAAATTTCACGATCCAGAAAATAATAGAGCGCAAAGAACAAAAAATCATCAACAACAACAATGCAACCAACAATAGTAACAAAAATAACATAGTAATATGTTGTAAGAATCACATATCAACTGCTTTCAAACAAGATGAAAAAAATCATCTAAAGAATCATAGAAATAACGTCCAAGCAACAAACGAAAACAATAGTATTAAACTACGAATATAAAACTCCAACCAAAGAACGTCATCTTTCAGGTTGAAAACAAATGCACTATTATAGGTCAGAATCGATAATGGATCATAGCCATCTAATATATTTGTCCAAATGTAATATGGGTGAGCTTGTGCACCATTATTTTGAATATATTGGCATGACGACGACCAAGCTGTCGAGAAGACTCACGATGCACGTACAAACTGGCGCTGTAGAGAATCACATTGAAAGAGAAGCACAAAACTAAAATTAATAAGCAAATCTTGGACAACAATGTTGAAATCTTACATTACAATAAAAACCATTATAATTTATGACTAGCCGAATCAATACTCATAGAACAAAGACATCCGATAATAAATATTCAACAACGGGAAATTGGAGACCATCCACTAATAAATTTAAAAACAGAAGAATCATCGATGTTGATGTCTAATGATATAATAAATCATAACTAAGAGTTGCACAAAGTTGAAGTTCGTAATAAAAAATTAAATGATCGTTAAATATTCTCATAAAAAAAACAAAGAATTAACATTGTAGAGCATACTTGTGTATTTGGCCAGATACACAACACAACCTATCAATTCAAACACCGAAGATAATATAGGAATACCGAATAAAGCTTTTTTGTTCTTAAATGTTCTATCACGCCTAAAATAAATACAAATTTTAGTTTTGAACTCAAGAAACTTGACAATGATTTACGATCATCTACCGTTAGAAAAATCGAAAAATTAAATAGGAAGCTAACTAAGGTGGAACATGCTGGGATTTTCATCAATAATTGCATTTCTGACAGTCCAACATATATATATATACATATATGCATACATATAGTCATAGTTATATATACATATAATTTATATATACATGTAAACAAATTAATGAATAGCTTTTCAATGTTATTTATTGAATCAAACTTTTTAACACTATGTGAGGTTCTATTTAATTAACTTTTTAATTAATTATTTAAATATCTAAATAGATGATTAGGAGGTCGCTGTCGTTTTGCATGTTTACGTTTAGTCTGCCAGTAAAAATTGTCGTTTAACTCGTTTAATTCTCGCTCTTTGTGTCCTTATGAGCTGTTTAATTTTCAATAAAAGCATAAAAAAGCTCTCATGTGTTTGTGTGTGTGTACGTGTTTGTCCAGTGCATTGTCTACTTGTTCTGAATGATAATACTAAACACTTCTACTAGTTGTAATAATGATAATATTGATAATAATGATGGTGATGGTGGTAATGGTGATGATGATAATGATGGTGGTGGTGATGATAATGATGATGATGATAGTGGTGGTGGTGGTGATGATAGCAGAGAAATAACAATGGCAAAATTTATAAACGGTGAAAGTCAATAAAATATAATTGGAACATAACGGCAATAATAATAATAATAACAACAAAAACAATATAATTAATAATAACAATAATGGTAAATAACAACCACAATAACAACACCAACAACAATAATAATAATAATATCTCTAGCGGAAAACAGAAAAAAAAACACATGGTTGCCATGGACGTCACGCATGGATTACTCTTCCAATTCCGGACGAAAAAACATCGTAAAACGAGATGGGCGGGGCTATAAGAGACGTCAATCATGATGGATCTGTTGTTGCGTTGTTATGAACGCGATCACGTGTTCTCTGTTTGTTTATTCGCGTCACCATTAGCGATGATCGTGTTTGGTACTCCGTAGCGTTGGAAAACTATTGTTTCTCTCTCTCTCTCTCTCTCTCTCTCCTCTCTTTCCCACTCTTTCCATCTCTCTCTCTTTCGATTATATATATATATTATATTTATACATACTACATATATATTATCTATATTATTATTATATGAATACTTACATATTACATGCATTTGCATTATTCATTAAATAAACATTTGCCAGCTACCCATGTTTAAAACAAATGCAACCACTTGTTAGGTTGAGTTGAGTTGCAAACCGTCGAAAAGTTTTCTAGAATTTTTATTTATAACAGTGAAGTAGATTTGATTTAACGGCTTTTTGGCGCGTCAATTGTGTCATAGCACTGAGTTCTCTTTCATATTTGGTAAAATTCGTAGGAGATTTAAGAGCGATATGGCTCCGTGTATTTTTCGCTGCGTGTTTGCAGCTGTTCTGGTGTCCTTCCAGTTTATTTCAGGCTTGAATTTATGATATTTTTCACCTTTTTTTTATAATAAATTATCGATTTTTATGTAATTTCTTGAATAATCGTGATTTGATTTATTGAGAATTTGAGATTTGTGATGAAAGGTTTAAAAATTTGAATTAAAAATTTCTTCGCAGTGTGTCGCGGTCAGCTGAATTGCTACTCTGGCACGGTGGCAGCTACGATCACTCAGACTGGTTGTACCAGTTGTCAGGTTGGCGACTGACTCACTCGTTCAATCATTTAACTTTTATTTACTAGTTTATTAACTGTCATCTTTTTTAGATCTATAACGATATATTTATTTAAATTGAATTTTGGTTTATAACTTACTTAATTGTTTTAAAAATTAAAAAAAAATGATTTTTCTAAAACAGACGACAGTGACGTACTCGGGCTCTGCGGCGATCACCACGTCCTCCTGTGTAGCCAGCTGTGCTCAGACGGACACGACTGCCTTGGGGTTGGGAGTGAAAACTTTCTGCTGCTCCACTAACCTCTGCAACCCGCCCAACGCCACGTTCAATGGCCCCAGTGCAGGTTTGAGGTGCTACGTGGGAGACTCCATGGCCACCCAAAGCAACTGCCAGTTCTGCAAGGTCGGTTTCGGTTGTCACCTCCTATATTATCACAATTTCTTTATATCTGCTTGGAGGTCTAGATTAGTGTTAAAACAAATTAAACCATTTTGGCATGTGCATCATCTTGGTGGTCATCTTCATCACCATTACCAGCATCATTTTCACCACCATCATCTTCACAACTGGCTCTTCAGAAAACAGTATCAAGTATACTAGTGACCACTATCGTTTCAAGAAGCTGCGAAAATTCGTGCTCTACTATAGAAATCGGACCAATAAAGTCAACTTGTTGCCAGACCGATTTCTGCAACCAGGCGACCACTCTGGCGACCAAGTTCAGTCTCATCAGCGCCATCACCACGGCCATCATCGCCTATCTGGTGATTAAATTTTAATTTGGAGTGCGTGTCAGTTCTTAATAAACTATGGGTGAATATTTTTAAGATGTAGTTGGTGAAATTACGGAGATGATAGAATGATGATGATGATGATGATGGAATGATGATGATGATTGTTATGATTAAGATGATGATGATGGCATTTTTAATAATTGACACAAACGCTAAAACTTTTTAGGTTAGCAATAGTTAGTAAAATTTCAAAAAAATGTTAACGAATTTTATATAGAAAAAGCATTTATCTATACGTATGTATGTATGTGTGTGTGTGTGTGTGTGTGTGTGTGTGTGTGTGTGTGTGTGTGTGTCCGCAGTCCATATCTTTCTTCTACTTCTGCACCATTTTCTATTAAATTATAGCAATTTATACAGAGTTGTCATATGAAAATTTTTCTATTTTTATCCTTAGCCAGTTTACTGGTACAAAATTTTTATATCACCAATTAGCGTCTTAACATCTAGGCTGCGAACTGATGGCAATAATAATGATAATAATAAAAATAATTAATATTAATAATTAATAATAAAAATAATAATTAATAATATCATAATTAAAACTACAGTAATTATTATGATGAATGGTGATGATGTTTAATGTGGCTAATTATATTTATTTATATAATATCTCAGCACAATGATAAAACCTCTAAGAGATATGTGAACATGTGTATCCATTTGTACGTGTAAAAGATGAATTAATAAATGAATAATAAAATAATGATAATAACATTGCAACTAAAATTAATAATAGCAATAAATTGCTTTTTATTATTTTTTTTTTTCATTATGAACTCTTTTTCAATCTGAGATCACTTGATTTAGCTTAAGTAGATTCTAATATGAAAACAATAATAAAAAATAACAACAATAATAATTACTATCTGTTGCTGTTATTATAATTATTATATTTATAAGCTGTGATGAATTTTTAATTAAATAGAGATATTTATCTTATAAAATTGCGTAAACGTTTAAAAATGTGATCGAGTTCGTTCGTTCATTCATTCATTCATTCATTCATTCATTCATTCATTCATTCATTCATTCATTCATTCATTCATTCAATCAATCATTCAATCAGAAAAACGATTTTCTATTTCAATCATATTTCCTATATTTCTTTCCGTCCATTCGATTGCTTTGTTAGAAACTCATTTAAATGAAAATTTATAAAAAATAATTATTCATAATAATAATAATTATTATAATTATAGTAAAAATTATAATGTTATTTCATTTTTCTCCCATTTCACTTTGATTGATTCGCGGTTGCATTTATTTATAAACCGTTAACATATTATCAACCGACACCATATCAATTTTATCGGCAATGGCACTCAATGTGTGTGTGTGTGGGACTATAAAGGGCAGATCTGGTAAACTTTGATGGGGTAGGCCAACGTTTGACGGTAAGGGGGCCAAAACCTAAAAATTCTAGCCACAGTCCCTCAACCCCCAGTCCCCTCCCAATATCCACTTCTGATTTTAATTATAATATGTATTATTCCGGCATTAAGTGAAAGATAATTTGTTAGTTTTTTATCTAGTTAATCGGTTAAATGCATTGGTTAATTATTATTCTTGATTCGAAGTGAAATTAAAATTTTTGAGATTTTCCGATCCGCGGTCTATCTATCCTCATTTATATGTGGACCTGTGATGCATGGAATATTTCGTTAAAATCGTCACTTAAATTTCTTTGTATCTCACATGTACTGCACGCGCATACCTGAGTAGATTAGATTTGCATATTATATAACAAGACGCTTTTATTGTATCTTATGTTGTAATTATGAGAGAGAGAGAGAGAGAGAGAGAGAGAGAGAGAGAGAATGAGAAAGAGAAAATGAAATGAGAAAAGAGAGAGTCAAAGAGAGAGATGAGAGAGAGAGAGAGAGAGAGAGAGAGAGAGAGAGAGAGAGAGAGAGAAAGATTATGACGAAAACTATTTTCATTCAAAACACGTCCATGAAACACAAGCATTAATGTATATTTTCCTATTGTCTCAAGTGTTTTGCTTGCTGTTTTGTGATGAATTCAATAGAAAAGAATTAAAAATCCCTCGTTGTAGTTGTTACAATTTTTTAAATTATAAATTATTTTAAAATAAAAATTCGTTTATTAGGAAACATCGTTTCGATAAAAAAAAAATTCTAAACATCATCTTCATCACCACCACCATCATCATCATCATCTTCGTCTCCATCATCATTTTTATCATCAGATTTTGCGCTATTCATCACATCTTCATCCTCCTCCTCTTCCTCCTCACTTCTGCCAGCATCATTACCATCATCTCCATCCTCTTCGTCGTCATCGCCACCACGGTTGTGGTCATATTTCTCGATATGGTTTTCATCGACTACGTCACTAATCGTCACTTTCTTGACCACTGACGGTGGCTGATGAAGCCGCGATGATGACTGTGGTCGTTTTGTTTCCGGTTCATCTTCATCTTCTTCCTCCTCTCCCTCTTTTTTCTTTTCATCATTATCTCTCTCACTCTCTTTCTTCTCGTCATCATCGTTGTTGTTATCATTGCCGGCGTCATTATCATTGTTGTTGTCGTCATCGTTAGAGCGTTGTGACGTCATCAAGTCTACGCCATCGCCATCGTCCCTAACATTTGCTAGGAGATTTTGTAATTGAATGTAGATTTTTTTGCTGCGAATACTATTTTCACAATTCTCATTATTTTATTATTATTCAATTAATAAATTCCTTCGTCCGTAAAACGTCTTCTTCTTCACCGTTAATTAGTTAGTTAATTAACCAATTAAAAACTATTAATATAAATAACCAACATTCATTGACGTCACTATCTTTGAGATTTGTGACATCATTTAGCTTCAATTCTTCATCTTTTTTTATCGGGACAATTTTCTGCGAGTGCCATTTCGGCACCAGTGCAATGTCGCCCTCTTCGTCGTGATTCTCCTTCAATGGTGGCCAGATTTTATTAGATCAATTAATTAATTAATTAATTATGTTAATTAATTGATCAGTTTATAGACTGTAAGGCTAATTAAAAATGTCTGGTCGCGCGGAAAAAGTAAATGATATAAAATGGAGAATACTCAAAAAATAACATGCACAAATAGATAAAGTTTTTTCTGCGTTAAAACGTGGCCTGTGTTTTCGTGTTTTTAAATCCGAAATATTTGATCCAAAAGTCACAAATGTGTCAGGTTTTTTGCCGTTTTGTTCATTTGTTAATAATTCCAGAAAAATTTTATTAAAATCTTAATTTTAATTGAAAAAAAGTTTAGATCTGGTGAAATAAAGTGACCATACATGTGACCTAACTAATCTAATTGGCCTAACTAACTACATGTGCAAGTGTGCCTCTTATCAAGTCATTTACTAATTAGTAACACACACACACGTACGTACACACATACAGATATACACTGACGTATAAAATATTAACACTTATCTTCTTATCTATAATATTTAATCACCTACCTCTTGATCGTTTTCCTGCTTCTGCCATTTCAATTTATTTTTATTACTCTTTTTGGCTTTTATTATTATTATTAATATTATTTCAACTTTTATGAAATAAAAAAAACAATCAATCGTAATTCAGTAAAATTTGTCAAACAATCATAAACAGTTGTTTTTAGACAACGGATCCATAATCTAACCACTACAACTCCACCATAGAATTTTATGTGACGTCATTTCATTTGTGTTAATTTTATATGTTCATTTCATGAAATAATGAATCGAAAAAATAAAAATATTAATAGAAATATATTCAAAATATTATTAATTAAGATGATACCTGGAAAGAATCAACGTAGAAACCGATTTGTTTGCAACGTATTCGTTCGAATATGTACTTTCCCTCACCGTAAGGCTGTCACCAATCGAACGAATAATAATCACACCATAACAACATCATCTTTTATTTAAACTAATTTAAATATAAAAATATCCGTAAAATTTAGTTTAAAAACAATCAGAGACCAAAAATAAAATAAATTTAAATAAATCTCTTTAAATCTCAACACAACAAGACACAAAAATTTGACACAACCCCACAAAACCTGACACAACAGGCCAAAACTGGGTACCACAAACACGCCCCAACACGGACCTTATTACTCCGGTACTTCCCAACGTATTTACAATCCTCCATAATCATTTCTCCATGTCCATCTCTTTGTCCATCTTTCCATAGACCAACGTAGCGGCTTTTTGATTCGACAAAATAGTAGCAACCAAGACCATTTCTCTTGTGGTTTTTCCATTCCCCTTCGTAATAATCGCCATTTAGGTAGCTGTATTTTCCGTTTCCCCATCTTAAGTTGTCTACCCACTCTCCTGATTGGTTGGTTGGTCGGTCGGTTGGTAGGTTGATTTGTCGGTTGGTTAGTTGGTTGGTTGATTGGTAGGTTGGTTGGTCGGTTGGTTAGTTAGTTGGTCGGTTGAGTGATTGGTTGGCTGATTAGTCGGCAGGTCGGTTGGTTAGTTAAATTTAAGATGAATATTTCTCACAATCTTCAATAGTTGACAAAATGCCTAAAACGGGTTTCTTAGTTGAGTTTATTAATACAAATTTCATTTAAAACAATGTTGTAATATAATTTAACACTTCAAAAAACTAAACAAAATTGCATTAAAACTTCCACGACAACCGACAACAACAACATAAATTAGTAACATCACCTTCGTATTTGGTTCCATCTGGATATATAAACGTACCAACACCATGCTTCACGTTGTCTTTCCAATTTCCAGTGTATCGTGCGCCGTTCTTAAATCTGGGCAGTGTGGAATATTATTATTTTAACCGATACTTTGTAAGTGTTTCTGTATACATTTCTACAAAATTTGGTTTTGAATGAATTTACGATAACGCATTCAATCATTTTGTCTGATCAATATTTCATAATTCAATATGACTGACATTGAATAAAGTATAAACATCTACATCGAACGTCATTGTGTAGTAAGTTGAACAAAGTACATTTAACGCGTTTAAATAATAAAGCAATATTCGATCGACTCGTAAAAACCCGAATAGTTTTTAACGAGTCGGATCACAAATAACGAAATGATATCGATCAAGTTAGCGCCGAACCGGATACCGACGATAAAATAACTACACTATGTGCGAAGATCCTGAAAACTCGGATCACAAAGAACCGACGATAAAATAACCACACCAAACCTGTAGACTCCGTTGTTGTGGCGTTTCCCGTTTTTATAGGACCCTTCATAGGTGTCGCCATTGGGAAGGATGGCCCTACCGTATCCGTGCCTCTCGTTCTTTTCGTTCCTCTCGCCTTCGTAGGACTGATAAGATGTTTAAGGGGTAGTGTTATGTAATGTAATGTTATGTGATATGATATATGGCATGATATATATGATACATGATATGATATATGGCATGCTGTATATGATATAGTATATTATATTTGATACATGATACGATATATGGCATGATATATATGATATGGTATATTATATATTTGATACATGATACGATGTATATGATACATGACATGATATATATGATTGGGTATATTCTATATTTTCGATACATGATATGATATACGGCATGATATATATATATATGATATGGTATATTATATATTTGATACATGATATGATATACGGTATGATATATATGATATGGTGTATTATATATTTGATACATGGTACGATACGTGATATGATACATGACATGATATATATATTATATGATATGGTATATTATATATTTGATACATGATACGTTGCATGGTATGATATATAACATGATATGATAAGTGATATAATATGATATATATGATTAGATATGATATTTGTGATATGTGATGCGATCTATAAATTATTAATTTTGCGGTAATTTTATGCAATTTATCTTAATTTTAAAAAATATCACAAACCCCTATGTTATTCTGCTCTTCCTCTGGATCGTTCGATTCATTATCAGACATATCACCGAATTTCAAAACTTAATTAATTAATTCAATTAATTACTTATTAATTAATTAATTAAATCTTGGAATTTTTTCGGTAGAACTATTATATTCCAAGTAAAACATAAAAAATACTGTTTCTATAAACTCCGACACCTAACATGATCTAAAAGTAACATATCTAAACTTGTATCTGGTTATATTTACCATGGTGACATACAAAATGCGTTGCTAGGCCAGTAGCGAGTAGCGAGTACTACATTTAATTCATTGTATATTATTGTGTTTGACTCTCCTCCTCTCTCTCTGTGTGTGTGGGGTGTGTGTGTGTGTTGTGTGCTTCTAAATATGATCACCCAACTCAAAATACTAAAAAAAGTATTTCAGTGTTGAACTCGATTAGATTAGTAAATAACCAAAATCTCAACCAATGAACCACGAAAAAGAACCCAACAACTTAAAAAAATATAAATATGAAATAATTTTCTATATTCACAATTTTCAATCTTTATTTAATTTTGCTCATCGGCTTACAAGCGAACACGAAAGAAGGATATGAGTGAACGAGAATGAAAATATTTAAACTAGGCTACTGTATGGCGCAATATATCTGTCATCATCGTCAACAATTATCACCATCTGTATCATCATCATTATCATGACTGGTTGTACAGTTATCATCATCATCATTGTCGCCATCATCATCGTCCTCATCCTCATTATCACCAAATCATCATCATTATCACCAAATCATCATCATTATCATCAAACCATCATCATAATCATCATTAATTAATTAATTAATTGTAATAATAGCCATTAAAATATTCAACGACAAAAAAAGCCAAACAACAAACAATCCGTCATCACGGCCACTTTCACCATCATCATCGTCAATAATATTGAAATCATGATAAACATCGTATATGTATAAATAATTAAACAACAATAAGAACAATAAAACAACAACAATAATAATAAAAATAATATACTGATTCACAGATAAATATATATATATATGTATATATATATATGTATATATATATATATATATATATATATATGTATATATATACTATTATTACATAAATTGAAAAAAAAATTGTAATACAGTGCAACTGTATTACATCGAAACAAGAGTATAATTGAAAATATTCATATTTAGTAACTTATGTAAGCCCTTAAGCTAAATAGACATCGTCATCATCATCAGTCTTGTTATTATCGTCACCAGTATCGTTATTATCGTCATCAATCTCGTTATAACAGTAACCATCATCATTCAGTTCACCATCATCATCATCTTTCTCACGATAACCATTATCAATGAATAGATAGATGGTTTATAAAACGAGAAATATAAGTACACACACATTCACAAAACACACATACACACACAACACACACGCAGACAAAGCACACATATACATGCAAATTCCATAACCACACATTATATAAGCTTGTACAACCGTACACAAACACATACAAAAACATAAAAATGAATAAAACCATAGGGACACAAAGCCACAACATAAATACCTTCGAATACATATATATGTATAAATTTATAAAAAAAATATATACAACTTACACTATATATAAATATAAAAAAACATTTCTGGCATTTAAACGCAAATGCATACATACAGAGATATACTTTTCGTTGTATATGTGTGTGTATCTATGTATGTACGTATGCATGTATATATGCGTGCAAGTATGTATGTATATATGTATGCATGTCTGTATATACGTATGTTTGTATGCATGCATGTTTGTATGTATGCATGTATGTTTGTATCTATGTATGTACATTATACACATATACAGAAGCACACTGAAGCAATTAAAAGAATCAAAATAATGATTAGAGAGGAAAATGGTATATGTATACATTATAATTGTACACAAACAAACACATAAATATATTGGATTAAGACTGTCAGAAAAGCATAATATATATATATATATATATATATATATATATATATATATATATATATATATATATATATATATATATATACAATAACATTTAATTAGGCATACATTGATTTGCCAATATTATTGAAGTATCTAGATGGTTATTAGATAGAAGATGAAAAAAATTGATAACATACGTCTCTGTGTGTGTGTGTGTGCGCGCGCGCGCGTGTGTGTGTGTTTGTATGTTTATTATTTATATAAAAACTTATATAAATAATAATGACAAATTATGATATAATGAGAATTTCAATATAGGCATGGAGCAAGCGAAATATAGAATGAAATTTTTTCCTTAATTTCATTCATTCTTTTCATCTATCCATCCATTCTACCATTCTTTTATCTATTTATCTACCTATCCATCCATTCATCCGTCCGTCCATTTATCCTTCCATCTGCTTTTTCATTTATTCACATTCATACATTCATCTATCATCTATTCGTTCATATTGCTAAGAAGAACATTCATCCATCCACCCATTTCTCACATGATACATTCAAGAAAACATCCATCCAACCATCAAACCATCCATCCATCAAACCATCTAGATACATAGATACTCAGATGCAAACATCGATCGATCAATCAAATCGACCATCATCAATCATCTCAGAACTCTGCTTCACTGGTGGATATAGTATCAGCGGAAAGGAAATTCTTCAGAAGGGTTTGAATCTCGTCTAGAAGGGGCTCGGCCAACTTTCTGTAACCCTGCCTGGTCAGGTGCAAGTAATCATACATGTCCTGGTGACTGATGGACCCGTCTGAAGGGTTGATGAACATGTTGGGGTCTATCTCGAAGAAGGAAACATTCGGAATACCAGAAACCTTTGCACAGACCGAGCTGTTGATCTGGTTGATTTTCTGTCGGAGGGGGTTGTCGAACTGACCTCTTGGTGGGATGGCCTGATTGGTGGATGGTTAAACAAAATAAATGGATGGTTAAACGGATGGATGGTTAAATGAGATGAGGGGATGGATGGATTGATGGATAGATACAACATTCTAAATGAACAAGCTGTAACCAAGATCTCAACAATTTCAACTGCAATTAAAATCTCAAAAATTATCTATTGAATACACACTTAAACAACAAAAGAATGAATGAGCAGACAAACAATGGTCAGAAAATAATGCCAAAAAACAGCAAAGAATAAATATTACCATGACAACAATTTGTGACTGGGGTTGTTTCTTCTGGCAGGTCTTCACGATCTCCAAGATGCCTCCAACTATTTGTTCCGGGGTGTGTTCGTGGTTGTTGGTCCCACAACAAATCACTATCACCTACATCAAACAACATTTTAATGAAATTTAATTTGTTGATTGAATAAAATATGGCTAATTTTTATCAAAATTTTTGTTAAACAATGGAAAATATGGTAGCATAATTTTAAAAATAGATGTAGTTCTTGGATTAGAATAATTTAAAAAAATTTTAATAAAATAAACATGGCAAAAATAGTTTGAGTTCATGATTTAAGATTTGAAAAATCAAATTTAATACAGGGGAGAAATGATAAAATTAGATTCACTTTTGGTGCAAAATCCTCAAGTTCTCCATTCTGCAACCTCCATAGAACATTTTGAGTCTGATCAGATCCAATGCCGAAGTTGAGACAATGCAAGGGAACGAACAACTTATCCCATATCTGGTGGCATAATTTTATTATAACAAATTTAGTATGATAATTACTTCTTGGTTGCACTTTATAATGAAGATCCACTAAGAGTTGGATGATTTACTCAACAAAAATGATCATGGACAGTCATTAATTTAAAAAATTAAGAAATTAGAAGGAAGGGATGTGAGTTATAAAATAGTGACGTCAGATGTAACCTCATTTTGTGCCATGAGTTGTATCAGGGAATCTCCAATGATCAGAACCTCTGGCTCTTTTTCTTTGGCTTCTGCTATAAACCGTTTGTGCTGTAGATGGAGAGGAAATTATTAAAAAAATATTGAATTTTTTTTGCAAAATAATAAAAAATATTATCATAGTAAAGAATATCAATTTTTATATATATCTCTACAACACCATACATTAGTACTCAAGTAAGAATTGCTGAGTGCATTGATTTTTACTAGACATGACATTATGATTATTTTTTTAAATTAAAATAATTTTGTAAGCAATTTACAATTTGAAAATTTATGAAAGCCAGCAAGTAAAATTTTTGAAGACTTTTTTCAACAGTGCAGGGCTTTATCTTTTGAAAACCCAAGACCTGTGCCCTCCTTAATTAAATTGAATTTTAAATCACCCCATATCTAGTGACCTAAGTTGAGTTATTATTATTATTAGTTGAGCAAGTATTCTTAAAACAGGTAACAACTGGCCAAACAACAGTTTTTTTATTTTATGTACATAAAAAAAGCTACAGCTACACACACACTGACCAAACTAATCCATCTGCCGTCACCATTTGCATCTTCAACAGCTGTTGGAATGGCCGCCGGATTAGACATTTTTGCAGAGTAGACAGCGAAATTTCCGAATTTTTACAGAAAAAAAACCTTACTTATTTAAATAATTATGAAATTATGACGACAACAAAATCGGACATCAGCCGAGCTTAACGTGTCGTAAGTTATCGCGTGTCTGAATGTTGCGTATTGATTTTGAGAACTATGGACAGAGAAACTTATTTAATAATTATTTAAAACTAAAATTTTCAAAAATTAAAAAAACTTTATTTAAAACTATTAAATTACAAATAATTTTAAATATTATGTATGTTTTTATATAAACAATCCAAATATGTTTTTACAAAAAAAATCAGCTGATTTGCATTCCTTTTCACATTCACTTTTAAATGTAAACCACAAGCCTATTTAAATTTAATTCTCCATCAAAATACTGATAGGTGGACGAATATTAAAATTTCCCAACCCGGATGAGCTATCAGTTCAGTTCAATGAATTTCACTGACCCACTAGCCTCCGAATTGGACCTTCGGGCCCATAAAAGTTTGTTTTTAATTTGAATCTCAAAATGATCAAGCAAAATGAAATTGAAAACCTTTTTAGCTTTTTTTCATTCTCATAAATATAAAATAAAGATAAACAATATTTTTTTATTAAAAAATAAAAGTAGAATCAGGTTCTGCAACTGTCTGTTAATATCAGAATTTTCAAATTTAAAAGTAAATTACATTTTAAAAACCAATCAGCTGCTGACAAACTGTCTGACAGTCTGAACATCATATCCAATGAGCCAGCCTTGGCAATGTACAGGATCCAGGAACATGTCAGGAACAGCATGCCACTGCTACTTGAAAAGAGGGTTAGTCAGCTCTTGTACTCCAACATTTATATACGTGTGTATTTTAGTGTCTTTATTTATGTGTGTGTGTGTGTCTATTTCTTTTTTTTTATAACCTTTTTAATGCAGCTGGATGTAGTTCATCTAAACAAAGACATAAAAGGATCAATATTTGACACAGAATATGCTATCAAGTAATTATGAAATATTTTTTTTCTTTAAAATCATTCAGATATTAATTTAAACATAACAAAATTAATTTGTCACCGTGTATACAAATAAAACATTCTACATATAACTTGAATAACTTGAAGTGCAGTGAAAGGTATGGAGTCGAGTAATGTCCATTTTAGAAACATTCAAGATCTTCTAAAAAATTCAATGTTCATGAAACAACAGATCAAGTATAAAATGAATAAGAAGAAAGAGTATGTTAAACATCCTCACCATATTATTATTATTATTATCACCAAGACTAAAAAAATCTTTCTTCATTACAAATTACACTCATTAAAAAAAAATAATACTGATTTAAACTCTAAAATAAAAATAGTAAATAAATATTAAACAAATCATATTTAGACAGATGAAATTACAACCAGGTGCTGGCCAGACAGAACAGCAAAGAACAGATGACAAAGGTAAAACCATTGTACCAGGTAGCACAACCAACACCACGACTAACAACAGCAGAACACCACAGAATTAATAAAAAAAAACAATACTTCAATGTCATGTAATTTATCTAAATGATTTGATTGTGTTTCTTCAGTTCAATTCCCATTTATCTATGTATTCAGTATTCCAGCGTTTTATATTTTTCAATAATAATTGAAAAAATTCTAAAGAAACACTAAAAATTGATTGGTTCCTTCAATAATTCAGTATTATTTTTAAAAAATTACTAGTTTTTTCCTGCTGCCTTATGCACTTTATTCATATGTCGACTCAGTGTGAATGTTTTGAAGAACTTGGCTGAACAAAGGCTGCATTTGAGGTGTACCTGTAAATAAAAGAACAACATTTGGAATCATTTGTAAAAATTCTAGTGGATATTTGAAGTTTAAAATTTCAAAAGACTGATAAAAATACTGAATGATCAATTAGACATCTGCAACTGCCATTGCAGTGAATAGGTTTGAATGCAGAGATCCAGTCTACTACATTCATTCACACATATTTAAATTTGATGTGCATGTAAAAAATAATGGAATGACAATGATCATTTGAAGAAACTAACTGGCTCTTCGATACCCCATTGTTTGCCATGGTAGTTTCTTTGGTGCCTGATCAAATGATGCTTTCTTACAAACCTTCGCAGGCAATCCTGGTATTGGCAAAGGTAAGGTTTCAGCAAACTACTCTTCCTGGAAGCCTGTTTGTTTGCAGCTTGTTGCTGATGCTGTTTATTTCTTCTTACATTATGTAGATCCACATCATCAATCTCATTATTTTGACGGCTCTGCTGTTGACGATCGTTGTCACTCTGTTGCTGATTCTCTTGATGGCCAACACTTTCATCATTTCCATCGTCTTGATTCTATTTAAAAAATGATTTAATTAATTTGTATATAAATATTTTATAGAGAAATATAGATTACAAAAGTTTGCTAGAGCAGAGCCCAAACTTACTTCAAATTCTAAACATTCTAAGTTAAGATTTCCATCTTGGTCATTAATGTCGGTTTGCATGGCATCATCATTGCTTGAACTAGCCAAATTATTGGGTTCAATTTTTAAGGATAATGGCAGCTGGTTAGAATTACAATTATCCATCAATGGCTGGCGCCTTTCTTGCGGTTGGCAATATTTTTGAGGTACGATTTCAATGGATGACACAACGACTTCCTCTTCTATGTCATTCTCATTTAATATTAATGGTACATCTACATGTGCTGGTCTGCTTGTTTTCATCTTTTGAGAAAGGAGAACTTTCTTATGCAGATTATCAATTTTAATTCTATTAATATTAATTTTACTGGAATTTACATTTCTAGTCAGATTGGAGGCAGTAGAAGTGGCAGCAGTAGCGGCAGAAATTAAACAGGTAGGCCGACGCATTGGGGGAGGCTTGATATTAACTGGAGAGGGTTGCTCGATTTTTACTTTGACGTTCTGTCGGCTTTCAGTCACGGAGCCACCCACCAAAACGTTTTGACAGGGGGCAATAGTTTGGTCGATGCGAACGAGAAAAACTGCATCGTCCACAGTAATCCCAATGACCCCATCGATTCTCAAACTTCGCCGGTAGGTCAGTCCGTTCCGGCAGAGGTAACCAACCACGTCGACCAGGACGCTTCTTATGTGATCTTTCTCCGATTCCATAAATCAATTATGAAGATTACAGATTAACGCAGAAATTATGAATTTTCTTAATATCTAGATCCTATTTTTACGAAAATTTAAACCAACGAGGTAAGAACGCGACATGAGGTTTAAAAGTAAATTGTTAAATGCCCATTATATGTATATACATATATACGTATCTATATCAATATGTGTGTGTGTGTGTGTGTATACACAGTGCTCACTGGCAAACAATGACGTCAAGTTTTCTTCTAAGTATAAGATTACTATTTAAAATAGTTAATTATCCTCAAAGTAAGTTTATATCTAAATACAAATTTACAGAAATTAATACAAAAACGTTACAAAAATTGAAATACAACAGATCAGTAAACGAATTTTAAAACATTTTTGATGGTAAATAAAATAAAGGTAAAATCAGTTAAGTTTTGGCTTCAAGAGCCAGCTAATGTCCTTTAACAACAAAAAACTCGTTATAAAACAATTTAGACCTACAAATTTAACAGTAACATAATTAAATATACATATAGGACTGACACAAAACAGCACACAAATTTGGTAATCTGTAAATTAGAGAGCATATAAAATGAGAACAAAAATTATGTGATTTTTGTAAAAAATGAAAACTTTATGTTAAAAATTAAATGTTTAAAAACTAATTCTACACAAAACAACAAAGAAAAAGAAGAACAATTATAATTTTGGGTGTCCATGAGTTTCATTCAAATGTCGACTCAATGAAGATGTCCTGTAGAACTTTCTAGGACATTCACTGCAAAAGTACATCAGCTGTTCATAGAAGAAAAAAAAATATAACTGATAAAAATCGTTTTACTTAAATTCAATTTTTAAAATTTAAAAAAAATTAAAATAGATTACTAATAAAACTGATAATCGTTGTTAAAAATTAATGAAGTAGTGAAGATGGTGACACATTTCCCACCTGGCTATCGACTCCCCACTGTTTGCCATGCAGTGTCCTCTGGTGCCTGACCAAACTATCCTTCCTATTAAAAACCCGGCCACAGTCAGGGTACTGACACTGATGGGACTTTAACTTTTTATCTTTCTTGTCCTGACTGAAGGAAGAATTTCGTTCTTGCTGTGTATCTAGTAGTGGAAAATAGGTATTGTCTCCATTCCCAATATCTTGATAGCTTTGATTCTTGAAAATATATCAATTAATTAATTAATGATTCAATTAAATATTACAACAAATTTTTTTATAAATATTTTATTAGAAACTATCTATCTAAGAAAAATGTAATTACCTCAAAAAAAGGTTGTGGATCAAGGCCATCATTAAAGTAGGAGTTTCCATCAGAATTGTTAGTGCTATTATACACACCACTACCTAACCAGCCATTAAAATCATGATTATTATCTTGAAAACTTAACTTTTTGACTTGTTTCTTGGGAGAAACTTTTTTCAAAGAGAAAGATTTTGGACTGGTTTTGTTTGTAGCAGCTGCATGAAGAGGAGGAATAGCAAGACAGGCAAGAGTGGGGCTACTACTATTTTTGTTGGCTGCAATTCTTAAACTGTCACTGCATTCATTAATTTCCATGAAACAATCAGACTCAGTTTTTATTGGAGTTTTCATAATGTGATGATCTTTGTTATAATCGTTGTCATTGGCAATTGAAACGTCTTTATCCTGTTTTTCTGGTGTTGAAGTTGAAGGGTTGATGATCGGCCGGATAGGTCCGACGGATAATTTGTGGTCTTTTTCCCCAGCATAACAATCGCTAACACCGCCACTGTTGTGATGGGATGTGACGGCTTGGTCGATGTGGACGAGGAAGACAACATCATCCACCGTCACCCCGATGACTCCCTCTATCTTCAAATTCTGTCGGTAGGTCAGTCCATTCTGGCAGAGGAGGCTAACCGTATCGATCAAGATTCGCTTCAAATTCACTTTTTCTGAATCCATAGAAAATTAAATTAAGAAATTTAGTTAAGATCGGTCCTAATACAACTGCACTTTTATTTAAAAAAGCGATGAAAAGTTAAAAAAATCCCGACAAGTGTCGATCGAACGGCAAGCACAGTAGAAATTGTTTTGAAACGAGTGCGAAGACGGCGTCATTTCATTTTGGTACCTCAAAAAAATTAAAAGTGAAACTATTAAAATTAACTATACTATATATTTTCGGGTTTTTATATAAATTTAGATTGTGATCTAAATAAAAAAATTTATACTATATTTATAATAATGAATTCAGAAAAATATCTAAAAAAATTTGAAGGTCACATCATAAATGAGGTGATTTTACAGAAATTTACCCTCGAAATACATCCTGCACTGCCCACTGCCGTATCCTAACTTGAATACTTACAAACCCATAGGTGACTTTACAACTTCTCACATACATACTTAACAGGTGGGACCTTAATGACATAAAATGCAAATTGAAGCGCCCGGGCTCTGGAGCAACTGCCTTCTCGCGGTGGAGCCGATTGGACCGTCAAATCAGTCGTTCCAACAAACAGTTGCAATAAAACCCTCCCCACCTGGATGTCCCCCACCCGATTATATAACAGCAAAAAGGCTTTCTGGCAGTTGAAATGAGTTCATTTAAGCTTTATGGCACCTACGCCCTACTCCTAACATGAATGGCGAGCAGGAGGGGCCATAAATTAAACAATCTAGTACCAAACGAAATTTCAAAAGTTACGTTCACACAGTAGAAAACAAGTGATAAATAGAAAAAATTGTAGCAATATTAATCATGCCAACAAAAATATTTTGAAATTCATAAAGATATAAATCAGTAAATATTACGTCTAACAACTCATAAAATGCGATGCAAATTAAAATTAGAAATTGATTTGATCATGGAGAAAAAAATACAATGATGAAGACAAAGAGCTATCAACAAAAAAATCCTCATAAAAATGAATCACTATGTACGGATCAACGGAAAACGTGAATTACACGACGCGACGCAAGCCTTCAAAACAGATAATCAAATAACAATTAGATGATCTATCAGTTACTGTCAAAAAATATTACAACCATACGAACACGTTTTGTCTACACTACAAACAGAAAACACAAAAAACAAAAAAAAAAACAGGAGAACTATTTAATGTTGTGTGATTCCATGTGCTTCTGTCAAATGTCGATTCAATGAAAAAGTTTTGTAAAACTTTCTTGGACAGTGACTGCAATAGAAGATGACCTGGAATGATGATAATGAAATTATTAAAGAGTAGTACGACTATCATCATCGTCGACGTTATTTTCTCGGCTATGCTGCATTCTTAATAATCCAATTTTAAATAATTTTGCCACTGAGAGAAAAAAAATTTCAGATTTAAAAACTTCAGCAGCCCCACCTGACTATCAACACCCCACTGTTTGCCATGAAACGTCCTTTGGTGCCTGACCAAGTGATCCTTCCTAATGAACGTTCGACCACAGTCAGGATACTGGCACTGGTGTGGCCTCAACTTATCCGCCCCATCTCCCTCTGGATTGCAATTTTGTGTCAACTCATCTACTCCTAAAAATGAAGAGTACGCTGTGTTTCTGTCATCTGCATCGTCTTGGTAGCTTTGATCCTGAATAAAAAAGTTATTAAATTGATGGAAACTGCATGTTGTACTTCAATAATCCATTTGTTGATGAACCAATGGTGATAAGTTGAGTATCTAATTAGATCATCTACCTCCCCATGCACGGTTCTCTGGTGTCTAACTAGGCCATCCTTCCTAACAAATGTTTGCTGGCAGTCAGGATATTGACATTGATGAGATTTCCTAATTTTTCCACCCCCTTCATTGCTTTGACCAAACATCAAATTTCTATTTCCTCTGTCTAGTGATGTGTCATTAAATGCAGTGTCCTCATTGCTATAATCATTTTCATCCTGATAAAGTTTTTTACTACATTTGTTGGGATTTTATGTGAAAAATTTATTTCAAATATAATTTACACAAAAACATCTAAATATAAAATTATTACTTCTAGATAAAATTGTGCCCTGTTGTTTTCAAAATTGTCATCTCGAGTAGTGTTGTAATCATTAATTTGGCCATCACTGAAGTACTCATCATAATTGTTTGTATATCTATTCGACCAGTTACCAGAGAGCTGATTGCTTTTAGGATAATCTAATTTAATTTTTTTTCTAGTAGGCAAATCTTTTGAAGGTTCAGCAACTGATTTATTTTTAACAGAATCAAGATGTTTTTTAGGTTTTACTACTTTTGTTACCAATGTCTCATCTTTCTTATTGGCAATAATATTACAATCATCACAATTATTATTATTTTCATTGCTGACCAGTACATCATCATCACAATCTTCAGTAATGCTCTTATCTTTCAAGCAGGTGTAACAATCTGGCAATTCTTTCTTTATTGCATCTGGAGGTGTAGTATGGTTATTAGTCACGGTGGGTACTACATTCTCAGGCTTGACTAAAACACCTAAACCGCTATTTACATTCTGAATTACAAAATTTTCTTCTTTCTCATCCACATAACAATCATCATCATCGTTGGTGTGGCCATCATTGTGAGAATGGAAAGCAATAGTTTGATCAATGTGGACAAGGAAGACCACGTCATCCACGGTCACCCCGATGACCCCTTCAATCTTTAAATTTTCTTTGTAGGTCAGTCCATTTTGGCAGAGGAGGCTCACCGTGTTTATCAACATTTGCTTCAAATTCTTTTTTTCTGAATCCATGTATTGTATGTATGTATGTATGTTGTAATGTAATCGTATTGTATGTAATCTGTAATGTAATGTAATGTATCTTGGTAGCGGTCAAATCAAAATATTAATTCCAAAAATTAAAGTAGTGTAAATTTAATTTTCATAACGAATAATTAATTAATTTTACATAAACATTTAAATTAATTACAATAGAAAATAGACAGTAAGAGACAAACGTTAAACGAGCCGAAAGTTGGAACCGACTATAGCAACATATATCCACATTTAATCAAACAGTTTATATAACGTATAAAAATTGATATTCTACATACATGGATATATTCACAAACATATATGAAATTGTAAATCTATATATTACAACTCTCCCTTAAATATTTCTTATAAATGTCATCAAAAAACACATAGTGCATGTATTTACGTATCAAAATTACATTTACAATTACATCTTCTTCTTTACAATTACATCATCGCATATACATTTTTAACGTGTATAGTATATACCTATATAAATACATACCTGTGTGTAAAGAAATGTATGAACAAGCATATTTCATATCATTTCCTACACATTTAATAAATAAAATATCTTAAACATATTTATAAATAAACGATAATGCATGAAATAAAGTAAAGTACACTTAAAAAATATGATCAGAACTCGATTGACAAAACAGGCAGTCGGCACATAAATAAAGTAAATTAATTAATTTAACTAAATTAAATAAACGTAGAGTAAAATTAGTCCAAAGGAGATGATGCCAGAAATTAGGTAATTTTTGGAGACAGAAATTTTGGACTGTTGTTAATGGAGGATCGGTCTAGGTTTTTATTGCTTGCTTTTCTTTTTGGCGTCATCAGCATGAATTTTATGATCAATACTGATATAATGACCAGTAAATTCTGTGAAAATTGCATAATATATCATGTTATTAACTTATTTTTTCCTTTTATATCAACTAAATAATTTTTTATTGCAATGGCTTAGCTAAAAGTTTGCGGAGGAGGACAAAAAAGTTGACTTGCACTTTTTGCTGATCCCACACCGTATTTTTTTACACTAAATTCTCAGTTGTAAAACAACAATAGATAAAAACAAACCATAAAGTGAAATTATTGTTAAAAAACTTTTCTAGTGAGGGAGACATTAAAACCTCATCTCCTGTTAGTTAGGCCCATGCACGGTTGTATCAATGCAAAAAAGTATGTCTCAACTTTAGTAATCTAACAATCCTATAACATAATTAAAATAATAACAATAAAATCGTAATTAATAATTTTACGGCAGTCAGCTCTTCCATTATAATGAGAACAGGGTGAACGATGGAAGTAACAGTAAACATGGTCTGCACGTACGGAATGCATCCCTGTGGGATTTCATTTCGTTAAATTGTTCCACTTTATTTATAACAAGTCTGGATAAACATTGTCAAACAAGTTTTCAGATATTATATATATATATATATATATATATATATATATATAATATACATGTGGGTATAGGAATAGAAACAATAGATTTTAATATTAATAATACATTGAATAATTTTATTTAATTATCTCCTCCTCAACCTCGTAAATGTTTTTGGAGTTGGCGTTACAATTCTTACTTCCATACGGCAGACAGCAGGACGATGGAAGGGTACCGTTGGTGTGATTAGCATTCAGCAGCCAGTCATCGTGTGAGTTGGCACCGCAGCATTTGAACTGGATTTCAGAGGAATAGTGGCTTATAAATTAATTTATAAATAAATTTGTCTTCACTATGCGACTCAAATAAAAGTAAAACTGCTTAAAATTGTTCTTTCCTCGATTAGAAATCAAACCTGCTATATCCGGAAGGCTCTAACATGCACCATACCACACGTTCAAGGTTTGTGATAGATATGTGATTGTGTATGATAGTGTATGATAGTATATGATAGTGTATGATGAATGTATGAGAAGTATAGGATAGGTTTATAAATATGTGTAATAGTTATAACAGCATTTGAATCCCTTAAGCGCAGAAAGAAGTCTGACGCTAAACATGGCGCTCCTTACCATCTGAGTGCTAACTCGCCAAAAAAAAAATTAATGAACGAAATACTGAGCAAATAGATAAACTAATTGATTAATTAAAATTTTATAACATTTATACAAAATCAAATAATCAAAGCCAGCTACGTTAGTTACCAGGATTTGGAGTAGTTCAACGTTGACAGCTGTCTCTGCGTTTGAGATGCTCTGTAGGAGTAGCCACGTTGAATTACTCTTGCACTTTGTAATGATGATGATGATGGTGACGATGATGGTGATGGTAGCGATGACAACCAGGAATATGATGATGATGATATGATAATGATGATGGTGGTGATGGTGGCGATGATAACCAGGAATATGATGATGATGATGATGATGATAATGATGATGATATTTGTCATTGTCGTCATCAGAATCATCGTCATTGCAATTACATTCGCCACCGCTATTGTCACATACTCATTAACATCAGACTAACCCCCCGTAACCCCCTCGTCACGATCATCACCAAGGAGACTATTTATCATCATCGTAACCACCACCACCATAATCATCGTAACCACCACCACCATAATCATCGTAACCACCACCACCATAATCATCGTAACCACCACCACCATAATCATCGTAACCACCACCACCATAATCATCGTAACCACCACCACCATCATCATCGTAATCACCACCATCATCATCATCACAGTACGACGATCATTATCACTTTCACTATCTATCATCACTTCCGTCCTCATCACCACCATCGTCACTTGCACCTCCTGGACTGAAATGTAGACGAGCGAGGACGACACGATGACCAGGATAATGGAGTTCGACACGACGAATGATAACTGTTTACATTTTTATTTTCTCTATTAAAATAATAATAATAATAACAATAATAATGATAATAATAATAATATTGACGACGACGACGATGATGATGATGATGACATTGATGACGGCGGCGATGATGATGATGGGGTGCATTAAGTTTTAGATTTAAAATCTAAACATTTAAATGATCACACCATAATGAAAAGTATGAGACTGGCTTTGAAAGCGGCTACGTAGGCAACCACACCGACCACCAAGTTGAAGAGGCCCGAGACGCACGTCATAGCCACCACCATGTCGCCTGAAGTTGGTGAAGTGATTCGAGAACATGCTACTCCATGGTGTGAGATAATTCACGGCGTGATTGAAATGAGCATTATTGCGTTGGTTTCATTGTCAGGAAGTTAAATGGAACAGTTAAAATGAAATAGTTTTAGAGTAAGAGGCGCACAAAGAATGAATGTATGTATGAATGAATGAATGAATGAATGAATGAATGAATGAACGAATGAACGAATGAACGAATGAATGTAATAGTGAATAAATGACTGACTCAATGAAAAAAAAAATGAAAAATATTATCAAATGATAAATTGAATTTTTAAAATCAAATCACCCTCGCTGGCGTCCAGAGCTTTCAGACTAATTCCAGCCACAGTACCTAATGACACCCGAAACATTCCTAGGAGCTGTTATCAACGAATTATCGATTAATCGATTGATCGATCGATCATTCATTCATTCGTTCGTTCGTTCGTCCGTTCATTCATTCTTTCATTCATTAATTCAACCAACCGTTAATTTATTAATCAGTCGATTGATTAATTAATTAATTAATCCATCTATATTAATTAATTGCATCTGCGAATAGACTAAAGCGTGAAAAATAAAAACATACAAAATAAAATAATGACAAATAAACTAATAAAATTAGCATAAAAATAGCAGTATAGAATAAAAAAATATAAAAAAGGGTTAACCCACGATAACAATGAGCGTCAGTATGTAGATGGGTACCATGGATATGATAAGGGGTGGGGACGGGTAGGAATCATTTGATTTCGTACTAATGCTTGCACTATCATTTAGACTTAGTTTCGGTGATCTTGCTTCTACTTTTTCCATGACGTCTTGCTGGTATTTCGAGATCACTGCCGAAGAGAATGCGTGGCGTAAGGCTTGACGTAGTGACGCTATGGAGCTTTGCTGAGTTGGATCGTCCGTTTGTCCGTGGTTTGGTGTCTTTGGTGGTTTAATTCTCTGTTGCTTATGTTGTTGTTGTTTATGTTGTTGTTTTGTTGTTGTTTTTGTTTATGTTGTTGTTGTATATGCTGTATATGTTGCATATGTTGTTGTTGTTGTTGTTGTGGTTGTTGTTGTGGTTGTTGTTGTTGATTACGTTGTTGTTTACGTTGTGTGTACGAGAAGCACCGTTAAACGTTGATAAGAATGTTTAATGAATGAAAGGTTGACAGTTTATTTTCTAAGCAGTATTATTTTGAATTAAGGCAGACTTGCATGCTTTTAATAATAAACGCCAACGTCCACAAAATATGTACAATAAATGTACTCACATGATGTACTTAATTATTGAATATCGGTTAAAAATATTTTATTAAAAAAATAAAAACAATTATTTGAAAAGGGGCAAGAAAGCACCTTGTATAAAGTTTTAACGACGTCGAACACACTAATAACTTTCTCCTTTTTAAGTCTTTCACCTTCCTTTCTCGATTTTCCACTACTCACTCTACGATGGTAGTGGTGACGATGGGGCTGTTGGGTGGTGGTAGGGATTAGGGCGGTTGGCGGTGGTGACGTACGGTAGGTTTTCGTCTTCTTCTTCAAAGGTTTTGTAGGGAAGTATTTGAATTTCGTTGTCGTTGGCTGCTGCTTCTTTTGAGGCTGCATGGCTGGAAGCGAGGAGAATTTCGAAGATTCGTATTGATACCTGGATGCCAATGTGTTCGTTTGTCGGTCGGTCAATCGGTCGGTCGGTCGGTTGTTTAGTCAGTCGGTTTGTTGGTCAGTTGGTTGGTTGGTCAGTTGAATGGTCAATTGGATGGTTGGTCAGTTGGTCGGTTGAACAATCGAAGTGTAAGAGCAAATTTATGTCATCTGAATTTTTTTCACGATAGCATTTAACTGAAAAGACAAAAGTTAAGAATTACACATATTTGGGAATATTGAAAAAACAAATTTTTTGAGAACTTAAATCACGAGTTATTTCCATTTTGCTTGCTGCGTTTTTCTTTCTTGGGTATAGCTTACTTTTCTAATGTATATGTGGGTGTATTTGTGTATATGTGTGCGTGCGTGTGTGCGTTTTGTGTGACTGTTATGTGCGTGCGAACAAAATCCCCGAAACGTATTTAGAAATACGAACGTATCTACTATACAAACATGTGCAAACTGTGGAGACTTACTGAAATTTTTGCATCAACTGGTGAAGTCTTTTCCCGATAATCTACCTGCTTTGATGGTGGGTCGCCTTTCCAACTTTCTCTACTTGGGTTTATTGCGATCAGAGATCGTGAAATTGTATGCTGGACTTTGTCGTTCTCTAGGGCTTAATTAATGCACCATATCATTATCGTCGTCGTCATCATCACCATGATCGTTAGCATTGTAATCGTTATTATTATTATTATTATCATCAATGTTATTATTATTTTTATTATTTTTTTGTCATCATCATCATCATCATCATCTAACCTGAGTCATAGTAGTTTTCCCAAGGGTGGAGAAGTTTTTTCTTCTTTTCCTCATACCATCATCATCATCATCATTATTACAAATTTTCTTTTTATTAATATTTTTATTATTGATATAGTAATAACAACAACAGTAATAATAATAATAATAATAATAATATAATTAATTATTAACTATAATTATAAATCTTATTGATAATACCGAAATAATTTTTATAAAATACATTTGTTTATAAACAACAAAGATATTTATATGGTAGGACGATATATTTTCAAACTAACACACACACACACACACACACGCACGCACACACATATGCACATACACAAACACACACATATATAAAGATATATATAACTATGCATGCCAATTTTATTATCATATATAGTTTGTTATATGATTAAATTGAATTTTCGTCATTTAACCATTTATTTAAAATCTCAATAAACTCTAAATAATATTCAAAAATATGTGAAAAATTGACAAAAATAAAAAATGTATATATATAAAACCGAACGAATGACCACAATTACATGCAACATACATACAAAAATCTTTCAAAAATGTTCAACTTAAAATTAATGTATCATCAGTCTATTATCTATTCTATCTATTATCTATTGTATATCTATTCAGTATCTCATTCATTGGATCAGGTTAAATGTCGATCAATGGCTGTAACTGTGATGATCGGTGAATCGGCAAGTAGAGGTAACCGACTGGTCGGACTAATCGGTATTCGAATCGAATCGGAGTTATACTTGGCCGTGGTTCTATCGGTTTCGGTGCATCTATCGACGCTCATGCACAAAAACTAAGAGTGGCAGGATTGTCTTTTATTATGTACATTCCTGCTGATACCAGGCCGAGTATCTTAACAAAATCGTTCACAAGTTAAAACGTATGACATTAATTGTAAAGTAATTATGGACGAATGAACAAACAAAAAATCAATTGAGACAAACAGACAGACAAACAGGCAGACAGACAGACAAACTCAGCAACCTCACAAATACCAGCAACTATGGAGACCCATGCATGCATCTTGCCGTACTTTATTAACATATGGTTGAAGGCTTCTCTGCATCCCTGTATTTATTTATTTATACGTTCCTTCGCTCATTCATTTATTCATTTTTATTATTTATTTGTTCATCCATTCATCCATCTATTCAATCATTCATTTATTTCATTTTTCAAAAATTATTTCGTTCATTCACCATTAAATTTGAAGACAGGACACGCATGGGCACAAACTCGCACACAAAAACCATCATACACACAAGAACACACACACATACACACGCACGCACACACACATACACACGCGCACATCCATACACACACGCATACACACAGAAACACACACGCAACCACCACGCACGCACTTGACTGAAATATTCCTTAGATTCGGCACTACAAGGGCCTTCAGTAGACGGGCAGCAGGAAGCCGGGAGGAGTAACCCATCTTGATAGTCGGGATTGGCCCGCCAATCAAAGGCCGTGTGAGCCCCACAACAACTTTGCTGCGGTAAAAATTTTCAACAAATTGTGCAAGCGATGTGTGGTCCGACGCTGAGTTAATTAACCATTAAAAAAATTATGATTATTAACAATAATTTCTCAAATAAATATATAAATTAGTTAATTAATTTCTGTTAAGAAAAAAAATTTCAATTTAAAACGTTGAATGCTTGTTAGATTTATTTATATTTAGTAAAGTCAATAAAATTCACTTAAAAATGAAAAAAAGTGTTAAAATAAACAATAAATAAATATTTATTTATTTATTGATAAAAAATAAAATAATAATATTCTAAACATTCAACATAATTCTAGAAAATGTAAATTGAAAACCGCTTTCTGAAAATCGTTGATGAAACTTTTGTAATCACGTTTGGCTATTTCTTTCATGAAACCGGCTGCCGGGTCCACGTGAGCCTGATGGATTGAGGGGGAAAATTGGAAAAATGGATGAATGAAATAAATGATAGAATAATATAATAATATAACATATATTATAAAAGATGTATAACTAAGTGGACGTATAATACCATTATGACACTGAATTATTTATTAATAGCGTGTGTACGATCGATATTTTGGTCATTTAAAACCTCATGTACACATGTACACGTACACACACACGTACACACACACACACACACATTGGATGTGATAGACAAAGATTTTCTTGCATTCAAACCTGGAGCCTGCAATAGCGATGCCAGGCATCTTAACCATTACACTATTAAATTAACAATGAAATAAATTACGTTGCTGAGTCCGGAGAAGACGATGGCCGCCCCAATTAAGTTGAACATGAGTAACAAAACCACGGAGAACATGAACTGGAAAAGTTTTGTTTAATTAATTCAAAGAATTTTGGCGTGATAACGGCCATAATTATTTATCTCAATTGTTATAATTAAAGTTAACAAATAAAAAATGTTACGTATAAATTGTGTATATGTATGTGCGTGTACATATTTGCGATTAAGTAAGTAAAGAATAATTTGCTAGTAATCTGCGTGTTCGTCAACTCAGGCCAGTGAACAGTCAAAAATTTATCAACCAGCCAAACAACGACAAAAAAATTAATTTTACTAATCTAATGAACTGATAGCCAGCCAATCAGTCAACTAACCAATAGGACGAGAAAGGACTTTTTGAGGAGAGCCCCAAAAAACCCTAATACAAAGGTCACAAAGTGCATGACTCCCAGGAAGATGAGATAGTTGCCGTAGGTGGATGCCTCCTTGATGAACATTGCCTCCCCTCCTATCTTTATTGCGCTGCCGGCCAGCAAGTTGAATATACAGGTTATCTGGGAAATTGTTAGTTTGATATTCCATTGGATGGGTGAGGGGAGGGGTTTAGAAACAGCTTTCGCCAAAAACTCGATCCGATTGATAACAAAAATGGATTAGTTTTTTCATTTTTTGTTTCCTAGTTTAGATGGAAAATTTAAAGACCAAAATTTGAGCCATAATTTTGAGTTTACATTGGTCGATTTGATGGCCGTGAAAAAAGACTGCCACATCAGACGACAAGCCAGGCTAACCTGGCTCCTCGAACGTGCTGAGGATCTTGCCTGTGATATGCATGCTCAAATGAATGAAAAGTCATTTGGCACAATATCTTGAAAAGCGTCATGTAATTTTACATACAATTGACTTGATCGATTAATAATTAGATGAGAATGAAAGAACAACCGACCATCAGTATGGCGCTTATAACGAGCAGCAGACACCTGAATAATGCACTTGCAGCCGCGTTCGCTTCCTCCCAGGCCGCATCGTCGATTTCTTGTTGTTCGACTTTCAGATACGGTGGTAGGGGTTGAGGTTTCGCCGCAAGAACCGCATTGGCATTTCGCATTTCCGAAATTTTCTTGTCTCCATCCTCTTTTTCTTTCCCATCATCTTCCCCCGCTTCACCCTCCTCTTTGCTCTTTCCTCTTTGGGCCCCAACCGGTATTCGACCGACGCGATTTCGTACGTCCACTCGCGGCCTTCTTGGTCGGGTCCTCCTTTCACGGCCCCTCTGTCAATCGGGTAGGGTTAAAGTTTAAGTGTCACGTTAGTTAGGATATTGTGCAAGTTTTGTACAGCTAGATAATTAATTAGCGTCAACGTTTTTCTACGGAGTGATTAATTGCATTTGGTCTAATAATTTTTTCGAAATTATTTATAATCGCTAAAATACGAGACAGAATGATAATGAACGAATGAAGTTTCAGCACTGTACCGCGACAAAATCAAACATTAGGCTACTTTAGAATTGGTGAATGATACGAAAAAAGAAACACCACCCTCTGCCTCTGGCCCTTTGGTTTTCTGGGCGGCTTCCGACTTTTCGGTTTCTTCTTCTTGTGGCCTTTACGTTTTTTATGTTTTGCTGTTTTTGAGACAAAAAAATTAAATTTCGTACAAGTGGCAAACGACTCAAGAAACAAAATTAACTAATGTGCATGCAAGAGACGCTCTCAAATTATTTTATTTAATACGGTATATTTAGTGAATAGATACACACAAATATCTGCTTTGTGAATGTAAGAAGAAATGATTGAAAATTTTATAAAACGCAACGGCAACGATGATGTGATGAGATACACACGACGTAACTCACCCATTCAATGTGGCTAGAACCATTTCAGGTGAGGTTTTCTCGTAAATGTTACTGAATCAGTGTTGGAGCGGTTCGAAATCGGGAACGGATATTAATTACACATTGATATCATTTTAAGATTTTTATTTTATGAAAATATTTTTTGAAATTAATTATTACTATTATTAATATTATTAAAATAATATTTTATTGATTTACATGCTTTTATAGGTTTAATTTGCGAAAAACGATTTTCATTTATTTTTAGCCAAAATTTTACGAATTGATTTTTCAAATTAATGAGTAAACATTATTTATTTATTTAAATATTGATATTAATTAACTTACATAATTTCTTATAATTATCAATCAATCATAAATAAATAACTTTCTTAATAAACGAGTTAAAGCCAGGAGGTACCTATAATATAAAATACTTATAACACTATTACAATGTGTTACGGTGAGTTTTATGGTATTCATTTGTTTGTTTGTTTGTAAACAATGCTCTATGTTTTTTCAAAATAAAAAGACAAAGTGTAGTAATAATAATTAGTAATAATATAAATAATAATAACAATACCTACTGTATAAATCCAACGCAAACAACATAAAAAACACAAAAAACCTCTTAATTTTCTAAATAAATAAATTTATTTTATTTCCGTAATAACTCCAGTCTGAATTGTTCGAGATAACGAACTACATACAATCAACAGAAAGAAATTTAACGATTTAATTCGGTCGTCAACGAAGCCGCTTTTATCACCACCACAACTCGACCACTACAGCTGCTGTCAGCTACGTGGCTGCTGCTTTTGTTGCTACTGTCGTTGCCGCTGTCGCGAGGAATTCTTTTCTGAACTGCTTGTTCTCGAGTTGTTGAGTCATCTCATAGTACTCGGACGCCAGAATACGCTTGTAAGCCGGTACCAGTTTCGGCAATGTGGCAAGGTCTTTCAAGGTCACCTGAAGGTCATTTTAATGAAAATGATTGGTTTAATTGTTATTAATGTTAAAGTCGGTGGTTATAGAATCATAATTTGATGTTATGCGGACTGGAGTTATGTTAGTTCGCTAAAATTTGCTGTCACAAGGTTGTTGAAGGATAAATGTTTTACAGACCAAATATAACAAAATGATAACAGTATTGATAATAATAATAACAACAACAACAACAACAACAACAATAATAATAATAAGACTCAAAACCCTTACCCTCATGTTATCGAAAGCCACGCCAACATCATCCCCAAAGACGTCAGTGAAGATGGGAAGTTTGTCGTACCTCTGACTGAAGTGGGTCAGGATGGTGAAGCTGGCCTTCATCTGCCGGCCTACCTCGATGGCCTGTGTACTTGTGCTGTTGTGCGCGCGCGTATGTGTTTGTGTGTGTGTGTGAGTGTTTGTGTGTGTGAGTGTTTGTGTGTTTGTGCGTGTGTGTTTAACCGACCAATGTTTTTTATCTCTAGCTTCCTCCTCCTTATTAGCGTCAAACGTCGCTTCGTGAATTAACACGTCACAATTCCTACCTGTGACGTCATAGCATGTTTGAATACGTTGGAGATGATGATGATGATGACGTTTTTATCTTAATCATCATCATCATCACCACCACTATTATCATCATCATTACCACTTTAATCCTCATTCCTCCAATTATATCACCATCGTCGCCATCAATATTCTCTACAATAAGAACCACCCAGCCATCATCATCATCATTAGAGTTATCATCATCATCATCATTAGAGCTATCATCATTATCATCACCAATGGAATTATCATCGTCATCATCACCACCACCTGCTTCGATGAGGTTCTTGGACGGCATGGTATCACCAGAGTAAACCAACTTCCATCCACATTTGACATCATCATCATTATCATTACTTAAACCTCTGTTATCATTATCGTTATCACTCCCTTTCTCATCATCATCATCATCGTTATCGTTACCACCGTGTAACACCAAGCCGTGTGGATGTTGCGTGTGCTCAACTCTTACTGTTTCAATCTTGATAGTGATGATGATGCCATTAATGATGATTCATTAATGATGATGATGATGTTGCTAACGACAACGACGATGATGATGATGATAACAATGATATTAACAATGATGTTGTTGATGACAAAGATGATGATGATGACAGCGATGATGATGATGACAACAACAATGATGATGATGATGATGACGTGACGCGGACGATGACGTAATAACTAATGATGACCTTCTTGAGACCGGTCAGCTTGAGGAGTTTCTCATAAGAAGGACTGACGACAACCACGTCGTCTGCTGCTCTCTCCCGCCTTCCTACGTGCAAACTCTCTGACGCAATGAATCTGTCCATAATAATGACGATCATCCTCATTATCACCACCAATGATGATGTTGCCAGCCATGAAGATGTTGTTGACACACACACACACGCACGCACACACACACACACGCACACACACACGCACACACACACGCACACACACACACGTACTCAATAGAATCCAGAATGGGTATATCGTCACAGTGAATTGAACTATACCATCTATACAATGCTCTCGGGGCAATTACGATTAAACGATCATCACCACCATCATTAACATTAGCATCGTCATCATCTTTGCCATTGACGATGACGTCATTCTTGTTATTTTGTTTACTTTTCATGTAATTATGTCTCTCTAGGGCGAATCCAATTAGGCCCTGGCGGTGAGTTAGTAATTGGATAATTGGTTAAATATATAGGTTACTCATTACATTAAATTAAATCAAGGGTGGGCAAACTACGGCCCGCGAGGCTATTTTATGCGGCCCGCGAGGCCCTGTTCGCCGAAAAAAGGTCGTCAGGGGCCACAAATCTTAAAAAAATTCTCACAGGGTCAAAAAATATTTGCTCTTTAAGTACATATGCGACCCTTTAAAGGTAAAATAGTTCTCAATGCGGCCCTCACAGCAAAAAGTTTGTCCACCCCTGCATTAAATCATCTAATTACAATCGGTAGATTAACTAACTGGTCAACCAATCAAACAAACAGCTAATCAATCACTCAATCAATCAACTAACCAACCAATCACACGATCAACTAACCAACTTACCAATCAATCAACAAACCAATCATTAAATCAAATATCCAATCACTCAATCAATTAATGAACCAACCAACCAACCGGCCAACCAACCAACCAGGTGATGATCAGCATGTAGGTGTGACACGAAGGCCCCTGCGAGGTCGGCCAACTTACCTTGACCCTTCTTCACCCCATAATGACGTAACAACTGACCGTAGGAATTTTCACCAGCGTCCATCACAAAACATTTCCCGTTTCTAGATGTCGCGTTTGTGTGTTTGTCCGTGTGCGAGCACGTGCGTGTGTGTGCGTGTGAATATATGTATGTGCATGTTTGTTTATTTACACGCGAGTTTAAACATTCACACAATTGATACAATACAACATAACACAACAAAACATATAGAAAAACACACAAATACACATAAAACAGCAAAACACTCACCAAAACACACAAATACACATAAAACAACAAAACATATAGCAAAACACACAACACACAATACAATACCCTAGATTAAGCCATACAGAGCTGACGTTGCGGTACTTGTTTGGTACTGCAGAGCCAGTACCGAGAAAAAGTATTTCTGGATTGTTTGTACTAACTGGCGAAGCTGTTAATTAGGAGAATTGCTACTTAGAAATTATCTCGGACAATTAATTAATTACTGCCCTAATTAATAATAATAATTAATAATAATAGCATCAATAATAACAAAACAATATCAATGATAATAGTTACGTGGGTTGAAGTTATTTTTATTCCTCCACTCGTCCAGAAACTCCTTCAGTCCATCTTCTCTCTCGATAAGTTCGTCAACGTACGATTTGGGATTTATTGATATACACTGGTCACTATAGTTATTATTGTTGTTATAATAATAATAATAACTATTATTATTATCATCGTCATCAATACAGTAACAACAAAGAACAGACAGTGACAACAAAGAACAGACAACAACAACAACATCATCACCACCATCATCACTAACAAGTTGAACGGACTTTCGGACACCGGCCTCATAATGAATTTAGCATTCGTTGCTGCATATTTGATCATATTATTCTTATTATCACTCATTATTTTACTGTCTATGCTGAAGTCATTTTCTGATGAAAGTTGCTGTTTTCGTAGGCTCTGCTGTTCGCCATCGACATATCAACGTTATAAAGTTATTAAAATAATTATGGATCGTTATAATTAATATAATTATTACCATTACAAAATTATTTCTTCATTTCTTGGTATAAACATTTTTGCTCTATATAACGCATCTTTTAAAACGCATGGTTAAACTTTTGTGACCACACACACACACAACACCACACGGCGCCACACCACACGACGCAACACCACACCACACGGCGCCATACCACACCACACGGCGCCACACCACACCACACGACGCAAATACTATACAGCTTTTTAAATTTCAAGCAGACGGCATTCGAAGCAGGTCACTGTGCGCAAAGACAAAGCGAAAAGTAGCAACCTTGCCATCTGAGCTAACATGCCAACTGTGATAAAATATAAAAAAATTAGTTGTTTAATTTAAAAATTAACTCATTCTCACGTAAGGTAGAGACGGAAAGATGAAAGGATGGATGAGGTGGAAGTATGTCTGCAATTTAAACATAGCCTCCGTGTCCAGTGTTGTTAACGTTGTAGAAGTTGGAAACATTCCATACTGAAACTTTTCCTCTGCAGTAGCGTTTGCGGTAGCTACTGGCGCTACTGCTGCTAGTAAGATCGTTGTGGCATCTTCCGTTGTAGTATTTGTGGTAACGTTCGAAGCTGCTGTCGTTGATAAGAAGTTATCAATGCTCTTCTCATTCAGGACCATGTGATGAATGTTTTCACTGTTTCTGAAACTGTTGTTAGAAGTTGGGCTATATCATGGTAATGATAACCATAATAACAACAACAACAACAACAATAATAATAATAACAATAATAATGTAATAATAATAATAATAACAATAACCTCTTCATCCATGTTTGATAGAGTGGGTGAGACATGATTGAGGAGTGAGTGAAATGAATGATAAGATTGAGAGGTGATAACGACGACGACTGAGGTGGCGGTGGTGGCGACAGAGTCGACAGGGAAGTTTTTTCATCTGAAAAAATATGAGATGAGAGAAAAAAAACTTGGTAATGAACGTCAGATTTCGACACATCTTCTTACCGTTAATGTTATTTTGAATGGTATCGCAATCATCATCATCGTCATCCTCATCGTTATCACCATCATCGTCATCACTATCATCGTCATCATCATCATTACCGTGATTCATGTACGGTGATAAGATTGGTGATGAAGTCACACAACGGACGTGCCCCAATGACGAGCATTCTACAACTGATGATGATGATGGTGGTGATGGTGATGATAATGATGACGGTGATGATGATGACGTTGATAACGATTATTATTACTACTATTATTATTATTATAAGTAAATATCTAGCGCTTTATTTAAAATTTTTCAAAAAAGCGCAGACAAAAATGCAATGAATAAATGAGAGAGAGAAAGAGAATAACACAAAGAAAAATGAATTAAATAAAAAAAACAATAATGATAATGATGAAAAAGACTATGATGATAACTAAGATGATGATGACAAAAATGATAATCTCATTTAACCAACCAAGGAAACAATGGTTTGGCTCGCACTTTGACAGCACATCGTCTGGTTTTATCTGGAAAATCGTAAATACAACAATGACAATAATAAAAACAACAACAAAAACAATAATAATATTAACAATAATAATAATAACATCAAAACCTCACCACCACCACAACTAACCAACCGATCTGTACCAGGCAGAATGACCTCATGCCCTTCTTTTAAAAGGGCCAAGTGTGGACCCCTATAACAATAATAATGATGATAACATACAAAAATAACAATAATAAAAATAATAATAGCGATAAAAATAGGAACAGAAATAACTCCCATCAAAACAAAAACACCAAACAGCATCATCATAAGCACAACGAAAACTACAACTCTCAACACTTCTATTATTATTATTATTATTATTACTATTGTTGCTATTACTACTACCTACTACTACTACTACTACTACTTACAAGTACTACTACTACTACTACTACTACTACTACTACTACTACTACTACTACTACTACTACTATTACTACTACGACAACAATACTAACGCTGGGACGTTCAGCTCAACACATTTTGCAAGATCAACGCTCCTCTGCTTGGCATGGGGCTTGTGGCAATAAAAAAATAATAATAATAATAATAATAATAATATCATTGATGAGGTTGAAAACGATAGCAAATGTGATTATGATGGAGGGAGAAGAACAGTGATGACGAAAGTGACAATAATAAAAGCGATCGACGATGATGATGAAGATGAAGACGACGACGATGATGACGACGACAACGACGATGATGAAGGTATTAGACCTTGCATAGATAAGCAACAGAATTGATAGCAACAGCTTCTTTTGATAGCTTCATCTTTTTAACAGTAACTATAATTATAATTATTATAAAATTATTATAAATAGTTATAAAACGACCATCATCATCACCACTATCATCATCATCAATATAACATCATTACCAGGCCCGACATCGTCATCATCATCAGCACCATTTGATAGTGGGATGTATTCAATGGTCATAGCTGTGTCAGTGAATTTTTCTGATGTTATTTCTTCTTTGACTGTTTGTTCGTTTGTATGTTTGTTTGTATGTTTGTTTGCATGTTCGTTTGCATGTTTCTTTGTATATATGTTTTTTGTATGTGTGTTTGTTCGTATGTTTGTTTGTATGTTTGTTTGTATGTTAGTTTGTTTGTTTGTATGTATGTTTGTTTGTAAGTATGTTTTTTGTATGTTTGTTTGTATGTTAGTTTGTATGTTTATTTGTATGTATGTATGTATGCTTATGTGTGTAACTGCACAGGAGTGCCTTACATGTATGTTTGTTTGTTTGTAAGTATGTTTGTTTGTATGTTTGTTTGTATGTTTATTTGTATGTATGTATGTATGCTTATGTGTGTAACTGCACAGGAGTGCCTTACAAAAGAAATGAAAAGAAATTTATTTAACTTCTTAAGGTCAAATAAATTTATTTGCATTGTGTAGGTATTTGTGTGTGCATATGTGAATGTGTGTGTGTGTATTTGTGTGCATGTGTGTGTGTGTGTGTGTGCGGGCATAGGCGTGGCTATGTCGTTTCAAAGATAATGCCAACAAACCTATTTCAATATTTTCGAATTTTGAAAAATTTCTTGATGAAGAAATGTGATGCTCCTAAAAGGAAAGAAATGGACATATGGATTTTTTCAACACCAGTAAATTAAAACCAATTAATTATTATTATTATTATTATTAATAAAAATTCATTCAAAACCAAAATGAAACCATTAAAAATTATAACCATAAATGTACACCAGTGTGTGAATATATAGGTGCATAGGTGTGTGTGTATGTGAGTAAACGTTTCTATGCATGCGTGTGCGTATGTGTGTGTAACAAAATAAAAAACATGGCAGGCGGTAGTGATGTAGAAGATCGCCAAACAGACCACATTAGGCGGACCGTGGATGAACATCTGCTTCGTTTCCGCTGTTTCAAAGGTCAGCGATAGACCTAAGTGATGTTTATATTTGAAATTAATTTATTACTACTACAATTAGTACTACTAAAGTTAGTACTACTACATCTACTAAGTCTACAAATACTGCAAAAATTACTAATTACTAACATTAAAACAATACCACTACTGACCTATTAAACCCCCTACGTTCCTCCAATTTGCATTCGTTAAAAACACTCTGTTAGCACCTTTTAACTTTCTGGATGTTTAATGAAACAATCAATTGGTGAATTAATTGGTGAATCAATTGGTGAAACAATTGGTGAAGCAATTGGTGAATCAATTGATCAATCGAATATTAATCTAGGATCTAGTCAGTCTGTCAAACAGTCAGTCAATGATAATAATAATAATAATTACTTATGTTCTGTAGCAATTCTCTGAGTGCCTTCGCCACAATTGAACATGTATCTGATTTATTTTAGTGTGTATTTTGTTGAAGAACATTGCGGGTAGAAATTCTCGAAATTAAAAAAAAATTTTTTAAATTAAACCAGTCAATCAATCAGTCAATTCCTCAATCAATTATCAACCATTCAATTATTAAATCCAATTAATTAAAATTAATTAAAATAATCACAAATCAAACCGTCTCCAACTACTAACTTGAAATGTGACATGCTGACGACGAGACACATGGGTGTGCCATGGTGGCCACTGCCGATCGCAACCGCCTCAATCAAACTCGGAATCGTCTGCGTTTTCTGCTTCTTTATCGCTCCCTGTTTCTTGCCGTTTGTTGCCGATGTTGTAGTGAGCGGCGCTTTGCTTTTCTTCATTATCGCCCAAGTAACAATTTTCAATTTAGATGGTAAAAAATTAAAATTTATCATCAATAAAATTAGAAACTTTAACAAATATAAACGGATTTTACGTTTTTTTTGTTGTTTTTTGTATTAAAAAGTTGCATCAGAAATCAAAATATTTACATAGAGTAAACAGTTTTAAGTGAAATACGTACAGGCAGTAAAAAGTTAACTTCGACAAACAACCGCCTAACAACAGTGCAAGTCTCGTTATTTGCCACTTCCAGACATAAAAATAAGCACATAGACACCAAACAAACACACAGACACACACATACACTTCATGTCTCACTGGTTCATTCAAACAGACAGCTGAAACCCATAAATACCCCGAAACATTAGAAAATATCAAGACCGATATGCCTTGATCTCCATTATAATGAACTTTTAACAAGATCGGAAACAGCTAAAATTCAATATAGCTGATTCGAGTTGTATAGCTCAATTTCTACTACTTCCTATCTAATTCAATTGAGATTAATTTAAAGGCTTAAAAATTTTGTATACTGTGAATGTTGTCTGGCAATCCAAATAAGTATTTATTTTTATTTAAAAATAATCCTCACTTTCTCAAGAACCAAAAATTGAACCTTAGAACGTGAGACATACTTTCAATAACCAAAAGATACAATTAAAACAGGGAACAAACTCGTGAAATAAAAAATAAAATAATTTAATCTAATAATATTCAATGCCAGAAATTAATAAATTTAAATTAAATTATAAATTAGTACGGAAAATGATAGTGAAATATTCACATAGGAGGGAGATATGATTGGTCGATTGACGGGGGGTCCGTTGGTAGTGTGTTCATAGTCACACGACGCGGGCTGATCAGGGATTCAGCCAGCATGGCCAGCACCAATAACTGGAAAAATAAATATTCATTATTATTATTATTAGTTTTAGTAGTAGTAATAATAGCAGCAGCTGTAGCAGCAGCAGCAGCAGTAGTAGTAGTAGTAGTAGTTTTGTTGTACTTATTATTATTATTTTTATTATTGTTGTTGTTACATCATCATCATCATGTCGTCGTCGTCGTCAACATTACTATCGTCATCATAACCGGCATCGCCACAATCATCATCATCACCATCATCATTATCATCATCACCATCGTCATCATCATCATCATCATCACTAACGACCGCTACGATGAGACATGTGTTGTAGCTCAAGGCCAGTATCCAATAGTTGCGGTAGGTCCCTTTCAACACGTGACTACAGCCCTTAATAGTCATTATTATCGTCATCATCATCATCATCGTAATTATTATCATAACCCACTTCCCGATAGAATTTTTCCTCCCAAAAAATGCACTTATCTTCGACATCCAGTGGACAACAGCTGATGGGAAGTTCGCCGTTTGATCGATCGAACCCGGGCTGGTCGAACCATTCTAGAAAAGAATTCGCTCCACAACACTTGCTCTGTTTGTGTTTGTATGTGCGAATTTTCAGTGCGTTAGAATGATTTATGTTTATGCGTGTGTTTATGTTTATTTTGTGTGTGTGTGTTTGTGTGCATGTTTGTTTCCACGTGTGTTTATGTGAGTGTGTGTGCGCCTAGGAAGTACTGGATTCAAGTGTGTCGTGTGTCGTCTTGAATATTCATCATCATCAATCATTTTCATCACTACCATCATTATCATAATCGTCACCAACATCACCATCATCACCTCTGACTGTATCACGAAGACCCTATCATGATATACTTTGTTGGATATCATAAACTTCATCACGTTTTCCGATACTCCGTCCACCTGTTTCAATCAATCATTCATTCAATCATTTATCCGTCCATTCAAACATTCATTCATTCATTCAATCAACCATTCATTCAAGCAAGTTATTTCTTCGTTGTTGTTGTTTGTGTTGTTGTTGTTTTCGTTGTTGTTTTTGTTGTTGTTGTTGTTGTCGTTGTTGTTTCGTTCGCTATCACTTTTTGACCATTTTACATTTCAACAATGATTTTGAAAAATCATAAAAAAATAAATACAATAAAAATCTCTCATAAAACTTTGCCACTTCTTACAACTATAAATATAATTCTAAAAGTTTGAAATAAAAATTTACACAAATTTTTTTTTATAAAATCACAGCACTAACAAATATATCCCAAGTGGGGTCTACCCGCCCTGGCTGCACCTACACCCCCTTACTATACCTACCCCCTGGCTCTACCTACTCCCTGGTTCTGCCTACCCTCTGGTTGCACCTACAACCTCCCATGTATTGCTACTACAAATACTACAACCCCCCATGTATTACTACTACAAATACTACAAAAAGTTTACTACAAACTAACTTCACTAATGTTTCGCGCCGTCATGTAGAGTTGTACAACTACCAGGATGATGTGCGTTATCAAGAGGAGAGTAAACTGTGGTTGTTGTTGTTGATGCTGCTGTTATTGTTGTTGTTGTTGTTGTTGTTGTTGTTGTTATTACTATTTACTACTACTGCTACTTTTACTGCTATTGCTACTATTGCTACTACTACTACTACTGCTGCTACTATTACTCTTTTATTATTATTATTATTATCATCATCATTATCATCATTATCATTATCATCATTACCATTATCACAAACACCATCATCATCAGTATCATCCTCACGCTTATTATCATCATAACCATCTCCATCATTCCCTTCCGATCCATCATCATCACCATCATCATCACCATCATCATCATCACCATCATCATCATCACCATTATCATCATCATCATCCACAGCCACTACCAACGATCAATTCCAGAGCCACCATCTTCTTGAGCAGAAGCGCTGCTCCGACGACGACCGCGAAAATTTGGAAGCAGCAGAACATGATGTAGTAGTAGATGCTGAAGTGCTTGTACTGGAAGGCCTCGTCTGGTTCGTCGTTGTTGTTTATCAGGATGTAGAAGTTGAAAAAACCGCTAAACTGATGGTGACGATGATGACGATAGTGGTGGTGGTGGTAATGGTGGTGGTAGTAGTGGTGGTAGTAGTGGTGGTAGTAGTAGTGGTAGTGGGGTGGTGGTAGTAGTGGTAGTGGTGGCGATTGTGATCATCATCATCGTCGTCATCATTATCGCCAAAATGTCGTCGTCAAACTTTTAATTTTAATCATCTTAATCTATTATAACCTTCATCATGAATACTGTCACCAATATCATCATCATCATCATCATCACTATCATCCTCATCACTATCATCATCATCATCACTATCACCATCATTACCATCGTCATCACTATCATCACCACCATCATCATTGTCATCATCATCATCACAATCATCATCAGACCGCTATGATGATGAGAATGACTACGATGCCCATATCCTTGAAGGTCGAACCAGTCTCCACTATGAGATTCCTATGAGCTGGCGTTATTATGGTCACTGTATATGAGGTGATAGTGAAGATGATGATGATGATAACGGTGATGATGATGATGATAATGATGATGTAATCATGATGACGGCGATGATGATAATGATGATGTAATTATGATGATGGTGATGATGTTGATAGGACGATGTTAACGATGATAGTAGTTATGAAGATGATGATGATGATAACGGTGATGATGATGATGATGATAATGACGAGGGTGATAGCGATGATGGTGATGATGTTGATATGACGGTGTTTATGATGATAATGATAGTAGTTATAATGATGATGATAATGAAACTGACGATGACAAGAAGAGCGGATCAAATCAACTACTAACTTTTCAATTTTTCAATTTTTTTTTCCAAAACAATGCCAAAACCAAAAAAAGATAAGTGATAGTAACAGTTTCTTTATCAACTTTAGTAAAATTACTTCTCTATTTTATGGTTTACTAAAAACTCGACAAAAATTGCAATACAGAGAAAGACATTTTTAAAGAAATTTCTCTACAAAAGTTACTACATCTTCTGTAGCAGCCCCAGAATGACGATGATTTACTAAAATTGAAATTGCTTGGCTACTAACTATTTAGAATACTAAATTACAACTGATTACCGCGTTTAGGTATCAAGTTTACATATTACTACTGTGTATATCTATTATACAGTTTTTTTTTGAGTAAAATTACACAATTTGAGTTTAACTATCAATACGCTAATGTAATATTGAATATATTTATCTATTTACTACATTCGCAATTCAAACAAATTTCAAATAAATGTTTTTCTCTTCAAATTCTTCTATAAAAATTAATTTAGAAAAGTTCGTTACGGAAACAAAAACATAGACAAACAAACAAAGAAATCAATGAAAATAATTATACATCAATCCCATCATGACGTCATTTGAATTTTAAACGTGTTTTCAACGGAGGTATGAAGAGAATATGAGAATGAGAAAGAGAGGTAAAAATGAAAAATGGAGAGAAATGGAGAAAGATAAGAGAGGAAAGAGAGAGAGAGAGAGAGAGAGAGAGAGAGAGAGAGAGGGAGAAAGAAAATATTAATTAGGTTCACGTTCTTTGTTTTTTCCTATACCTATATGTGACGACGCACGAGGCAACCAAGGCTAGCAGCTTTTAATTGAATAATTAATCAATTAACCAATTAATTAATTAATTAATTTGTTAAAAAAATAATAAATTATTAATGTAAATTAATCGATTATATAATTTAATTAAATATTAATCAATCAACCGTTATGAAAATTCATCTTCGGCTTTCTTTGCGTCCAAAGTCATACACTGCAGCAAAAGACCAGACGTCTTTAACCCAATACACCATCACACCGTTATTATACCATATAAATAATGTTAATCCTAACCCAAAAAATGCTATACAAACTGAGATGAGACTTGTGGAGAAGAGAGCCAGGGCCAAAAATTCGCATGATTTCTTCTGTGCTAACACTAAGCCTTCTCTGCAACCCTAACAACGCGTTGTGTGTTGGTTGATGTTTGTGTGTGTGCGTGTGCGTGTGTGTGTTGGTATATTTGTGTGTGTATGTGTGTTTGTGTTTAATATAAAAAATATATAATTTAAAATGAATAGTGTCAGTTTGAAAAGTTTAAACTTTCAAAGTTGAAAAAGTTAACTCAAATGGAAGTATAAAAAACAATGAACGGAGCAATTGTTAATTTTATGAATCAATTAACTAACCAACAATCTAATCAACCAACCAACCAATCAACCAACCAACCAATCAATCGACCAATCAACCAACCAACCAATCGACCAATCAACCAATCAATCGACCAATCAACCAACTAATCAGCGAACCAACCGCAACAATAAACGATGAATTATTCGTGAAACATCCCAAATGCTGGTTCTCATAGCAGCAGGATGTGGGCAGAGTGATGGGTTGTCAGAATACTTCTTGTTCAATTTCCAATCCATATAATCGTGGAAACCACAGCAAGGTATCTTATACATTAAATTATAATAAAATATATCAATAATAATAACAAATTTTTTATTACAATAAAACCCAACATGTCAACAAGTCCAATTCAGAATGTTAGACAACTACAGAAAAAATTAAGATACTTCAAATTCTCAGTCACATGATAGAAATGAAGTGAATGACTCTGCGTTCAAAACCAGCCACTGTGACGTAAGAGACGGGCGTTTTACCGCTAGGCTATCTCACTAACAAATATTTTTTAAAAATCTTTCATAACTACTACCGTCTGTTGGATGAGGATGATGTAATCCTCATTGGCACCTGCGATGTACTGCAAGGTCCTGTTTGTTATCATGTATTCCAAAGACTGTTTGTGTGTTTGTTTGTTTGTTTGTGTGTTTGTTTGTTTGTTTGTTTATTTGTTTGTTTGTTTGTTTGTTTATTTGTTTGTTTGTTTGTTTGTTTGTTTGTTTGTTTGTTTGTTTGTTTGTTTGTTTGTTTGTTTGTTTGTTTGTTTGTTTGTATGTATGTATGTATGTATGTACGTATGCATGTTTGTGTGTTTGTATGTTTGTATGTATGTTTTTATTGTGGGGTATGTATGTATGTATGTAAGTTTGGCCATGCTCGATAAATTCCAATAAGAATTTTATCATGGTCAGTCCGCTTCTTATCATTAAAATTTTTTTTTAATTTTATGAAGCAAATAAAATTTCGTTTCGTTTCGTTTGTGTGTATGTTAGTTTGTTTTTATGGATGAATATATGTTTGTTTGTAGGTTTGTGCATACACATACTTAGGTAGTTTTATATATTGGCGTATGTATGTTTTGTTTATGGGTATGCAAGCGAGCACAAACACATACAAACAAATACAAAGATTTAAGAACATAAACAAATAAAATATTGAACTTTAAGAAGTTACACAAAAATACGCGAACGTTTTCAAGCGTAGAGAGACACATACAAACGCATACAAAAGTCTACAAAACTATAAAAACAAATACAATGATGAACAAAAGTATACAATAATATACAAACGCGTATAAAGATATAAAAAAGCATACAAAGATATACGAACACTTTCGCTTTTGGACAGTTGGCCAATGAGAGTACCGCTAACAAAATAGATGATGCCAAGGAAGAAAAATATCACCGAAAACTAGGTTAATAGGTCAGGTCAAAATGTTGGGGTCGTTCATCAGTTAATGGGTCATTTATTTGTTTATAAATCAACCAATTAACCTAAATTAATTATTAACCAACCAATTAAATGTTACAAAAATCAACCAAATATTTAGATATTTAAATAATTAGATCGTGTCAATTAAAGTATTACATTAAAAAATTAACCAATCTAATGTCTGGTTTTTATAAACCGGCCACTCAACCGGCCAATCAGATGATTAGATTTAAACACTAGCCAGTAGCCCCACAACTGGCCAATCAGTCGTCATTTTTTATAAAAAAATCTTTCCATTTTATAAACCACTAGTGTTTAGTTTCAAAAACAAGATACTGAATTAACCAATCATAGGCATAGTTTTAAAAACCGGTTAACAAAATCTTTACATTTAAAAACCAGCCAATCAAATCTCACCAAAGATAAGACCACCGAACTCCTCATGACAAGCCCCACCCCTCCGATGGCGTACATCACTATGAGGGATGACGTCATGATGATGAAGATGAACAGGAAGTCAACAAATAACTGCCTGTAAAAGAGCATCATTATCATAGCGCCCATAGACATTACCTGGCGATGATGATGATGATGTTGATGATGTTGTTGATGATGATGATGATTATGATGATGATGATGTTGATGATGATGATGTAAATTTTAGCTAACAAACAAACATACGTACAACCATGCAAACATACATAGAAGCAATCATGAAAACATACATACAGACATACATACATACATACATACATACATACATACATACATACATACATACATACATACATACATACATACATACATACATACATACATACATACATACATACATACATACATACATACATGTGCAATTAACGACAAATCAAAGTGTTAATCCATTTGTTACTTGATGTTTGACGGTTCAGTGTCACTCATCATGTTTTGGTTTTAACATACATACATACATACATACATACATACATACATACATACATACATACATACATACATACATACATACATACATACATACATACATACATACATACTTACATACATACATACAACATTAAAGATGGCGGAGATACAAAACAAGGCTTCCCATTTTTTGTCCACCAGAAACATAGCGAATGTGCGATCACATACTTGGTGACTACTTGGCTGCTCACTGGCGTCGGTATTTGCTACTGACAGATTAGCTTTCAGAGAGACAAATTTAAATCAATCAATTAATCTATAAATCAATTAACCACACAATTAATTATTAATTGTGTAAATTTAAAGTTTAAGAGAGATAAATTTAAATAAATTAATTGATGAATTGTAAATTAATAAGATATAAAAATAGTTAAGTGATGGATTGATTTTAAAATTTTTATTTGAGTGAGTGAGTGAGAGAGTGAGTGAGTGAGTAACTGATAGGACGTACGCACATCTCTTTTTTCCATCTTTAGTTGCTGTTGGTTTCTGAGGTCTTGTGACGGGTGACCTTCGAGGTTGATTCATCTGGGATGGAGACGAGGAGGATGATGATGATAATTGTGATGATGATGACGACGACGATGATGATGACAATAAAGATAACGATATTAATAATTGAGAAAATGTATGGTGCCTCAACGAAACAGCTACTACAAACGCTTAATAGTTATTATATAATAGCACTTAATAATAATAATTATCTCATAATAATTATATTTCTAGTTATATCATTATCACATCTGTTAAAAGAAGTTGACGTTTCTAACATTAATAACACCGATTAAAAAAATTATTGCGATGATAACGAGTTGATATTTTGGACATTTTGTTTTGTAAACAGAAGATAGAAGAGCGTATGATTGGATTTTATTTTCTGAGACAAATGAGACAATATAATTAATCAATTAATTTATTTATTTATTTATTAACTAATTATTTAAATTTTCTATTACCATTTGCTTTTCTGAAATTTTGAATAAAATTTTTGAAAAATTTTCGAAGTGATTTTTTGAAAACTTTAAATTCATTATACCTAAACTGCACTTTTTGGATATTTCATAATCTTAGTCGGTCTAGTTTCACGTTTATTTTATATAATTTATATTTATTTTGCTAGAATTATTATCAATTAAATTTATCCCTTCCTATAAATACATAAACGGTATGTTGAATTCATGATTATGAAAACAATTATCAGACAGTTTTGTTCATCAAGTTGTCAAATTGGGTATAAGACGTGTTAATAAGTAAATATAATAGATAAAGACATCTGTCTTTACCTATGATTTTCTCTTTATGTCTCTTTCTCTCTCTCTCTTTCTCTCTCTCTCTTTCTCTCTCTTTCTTTTTCTCTTTTTTTCTTTTTTTTTCTCTTTCTCTCTCTCTTTCTCTCTTTCCCTCTCTCTAACTTTTCATCCAAGTTCTCTATTTCTATCTTTCACACTTTCTTTTCTCCCTAAGTCTTTTCCTATTTTTCTTGCTCCATCACTATCTTTTCTCTCTTTCTCTTTCTCTCTCTCTTCCTAATCCAGCATCTCTCTCATCTTTTTTGTCTCCTCTCTCTTCTTCCTCTTCTTCTCCATGATGATATCATTGGATTCGATGGGGCCAGTTGATGTAGGTTGAAGGTTATTCTTTTTCGCTACGCACACGACCAACAGTATCGACAGCAGGCCTGTTATCAACTATAATTTATTTTATTATTATAAATATGATTATATTAATAGATTTAATTATGAATGTATTATTATTATTATTATTTTATTATTATTATTATAATTACCGACCAGTAGAGTGAGCAATAAACATAGGACGACCAAGTATATCCAGTTGTGGTTTTTCTTCAGGTCGATCAGAAACTGTTTGCATGGCTGGGATGATGATTGTAACGATGATGATGATGGTGGCGGTGGAGATAGATGGTGATGATGATGATAATGATGATGATGATGACGATGTCGATGGTGACGATGATGATGGTGACGATGATGATGATCGTAACAAATAATAATAATTTCATAATTTCATAATCCGATAATTTCATTTGGGTGCAATAATGTCGCAATAATTTTATATAAAAAAAACTGCTGTTATTCCAAAATGGGCTAGAGGGCTTTACCCCGTTCAACTCAAACCCGTGTACAACCAAAAAATACAGCAAACCCTTGTTAGAAATTCGGTAGTGGTGATGTTACACTTCCTCGGTGCATTGCGTTTTTTTTGGTAGCAGCAAGAATATGGTAGGGTTGTCGAGTCGGAAAAACCGACCGACTCGAACCAATCGGTGTGATTATGAAAGCCGCAACACTTACCCTGGCAATTTGAATAAACTAATTAAACTATTAAAATAATTAATTAATTATTTAATTATTTTAATGAATGAATAATTGATTAGTTAATTGAATGGTCAACAAGTTTAGCAAGGTTTTTGTTTTAAACTTCAAATAATTATGTCGAAAACCTATCTTATTCATTCATTTATTATATTTATGTGATTATTATTCATTCAATTAAAGTTTACAATCACCTTAATCAGTCAATTAAATAATTATTTGTGTAATATTCACAACCAATTAGTCACAACTAATAAATAAATTAAATCATTACATAGAATTAATTAATAATCTAAAAAAAAATAAATAAAGTCAATTTGAATAAACTAGTGATAGCAACATCTCTGTGGATATCGCTTAAGAAGAATAAGTCCTCATTGTTCAGCATTTCGTACGTGTCTATGTAGTATTTGTACTGCTCGAACGCTGCCTTTGTGGTCTGGTGTTTCATCATCATCATCATCATCACCATCATCATTATCATCATCATCATTATCATCATCATCATTATCATCATCTGTTTCGCCATCGTCGTCGTCGTCATCACTACCGAAATCATCCACTCACATTTCTCGTTTCTTCGAAAATGAATATGCACACCACCGTCGTCTCCATCGTAATGGAGATTGTCAACAACCCAAACTGAATGATTGAATGAATGAACGGACAAACGGACGAACGAACGAACGAATGAACAAACGAATGAATGAATAAATGAATGAAAAATTGACGGTTGGATAGATATATGAATGAATGCATGGATAGATTGATGGATGGATAATCAAAAAATAAGCGATTCGATGAACGAGCAAATGATTAATTAAACTAACAAAACCAATAAAAATAAGGCTACTAACAACAAGGATGAACTTCAACTTTTCTTTCATCACTCCGTATACCCCGCAGGCCAGGGCAACGGACACCATTGAACACTTAATGATAAGGACCATCCTATCTACTGACCTCACGGTCATTTGGATTCCCAAGCCTATGTACAATGCCTTAATAAAATTTTTAAACCTTTATATATTTTTTTTAGATAAAAACGAAAAAAGCAAAAAACATACAAAAAATAGGCAAAAACTAAACAATCAACCAAGCAAAACCTAGAAAGAACATACAACGCTATCTTTAGATACTTATTCCTTTTGTAAAATATACAAAACTATACAAAACCCCGACAACCAGCCATGCAAAACCCAGAAAGAACAAACAACGCAGTCTTCAGGTATTTATTCCACTTGTAAAATATACAAAACTATTCCAAACCCCGACAACCAACCATGCAAAACCCAGAAAGAACATAAATAGCCGTCTTCAAATACTTTTTCCTCTTGTAAATTTTTCTTAAAATTATGTTCGGAGCTGCCTGCTCTTCTGGTTGGTTATTATTTTCCGAACCAATCGTAACGTTCATTGAGTTTTTACCTTCTTCAATTGTTTCCGGTATTTTCGCGCCATCTACGGTCATATCTACGGTCATTTTTTGGTTATTTTATTATTATTTTTATTATTTACATTGTTGTTTTTATTATGTTTATTGTTTTATTTTATTATTCGCATGTTAAAATAATTTTTAATGTGATTTTCACTGGTCTAGTTATAGCCTATTGTATTTGTGTAGTTTTTCTATTAGCTGTAATATTGTCGAGGTTTTATGTTACGTAAGTACTTACGTACCGTTGGTTGTATTGACACCTTCTTTCATTGTTGTTGGATTTTAAGTACAATTTTAAAGTTTAGTCTTGTTTTTAAAATATTTCGAGATAAATACTTGATGAGAAATGTTTAAAAAAATATTTGTGTTTATGTTTTGTTCTATTAGCAGCTGCGTTTCTGAAACTATTTTTGTCATTTGGGTTCATATTATTTATAAAATAATAAATTTTATTTATAAATATTTATTAACATTTATTTTTAAAAATTATTATTTTTATTAGTATTTGGTTGTTTAATAGGTTGTTTGGTTGTTAATTAAAAATAGTGATAAGTGTGAAGATAGCAAATTCATAGGCACAAGACACATACAGAACATTTAAGACCCTATTACTAAGTTTTTAGACTATACATACAAAGTTGTTTTTACTGAATTACTGTTGAAATGACGAAAAGATCTTATGCGTTCACAACAGCTACCGTCGAAGAAATATTTTAGTAATTTTTTTTCCCATAAAAACATTATAAACAACAAACATGTAGTTGGTTATGTTTGAAAAACAATTTATCAAAACAAAACTAAATTTTTTTTAGAAACTCATTTGGCAAAAAAGTGTCAGAAACTCATAGACGTCCATTTAATTGTCATTAACCAAGCCATTAATCAAATAAAAAGTCAATTTTTCTCTGAAACTGCTCCTTTTTTCAGCTTTTCCTACTTTTTCTAGGACCCATTTTACTTTTTTCTCTGTTTTTTACCTTTCACGGGTGCGTCAAGTTCTTCACTGGCACTTTCGGCTATCCCACTGGGCGGGGCTGGATTGTGGAGGGTGGCCATGGCTGGTTGAGTGAGATTGCTCCCACGTTTTTTACGATAGCACAGGATTATTATAATCGTCAGACTGAGTGCTACAAGCTGAATGGTTGTATGCAGTAAGGGAGGTTATTTAGGATTTTGAATTTTTTTTTTCAGTCAGTCGGTCAGTCAGTCGGTCGGTCGGTCAATAAACTAGCTAACCGATAAGGAGAGAAGAAGAATGTTAGTCGCTAGTACGATCTTCATCAACTGCTTCTTTTTATGTATTGAAAGTCTCAGACAAGGCTGCGTGTGTTGATGTTGTTGCGATGGGCTGATGAATTGTTGTAATGATGTTATGTTGTTGTGATATGATGCCTGTAATGACGTCAGTATGTCTGTATTAAAGTTATTATCGTTATACAATCAAATACTGACAGACAGACCAACCAATCCTCAAACATACGCACACAATCACACACACACATACAAACAATTCTTTCTCTCTC